ACTGCAGCAGAAGCAGAAGAGAATTGATTCTGCTAACCTTCAAAGTTAGAATTATGACAGCTCCTTTGGGCATGGGATAAAGGAGTTTAAGCCTTTACATGAAAGCCCCTTTGGGCAGAAACAATTTAGTTTACAAAATAAAATGAAAGCCCTATCAGCAAAACCTGTAGCAAGAGTCGGTGGGAATGGGTTCTGGGACCCTTTAAGGTTAGAAGCATATAAACTTCAGTGGGCTCTCATACCCAACCCTGGACCTTTACATGAAAGCCCCTTGGGCATAAACCACAATAGTTTCAAAATAGCAGGAAAGGCCACTGGGCCAGAAAAAAACAAGTACACCACATGGTGTTTTTTTAAAATATTTTTTCTCCCCCCACAGTATTTTGATTCCACCCAAGTATGTTTTCATCCAGGCTTTCCATGCACTATGGGCATACAGCTGCAGCTATCAGGCGCAGATAGCATCGCCAGAAGGAACAGGGACCCCAGCCAACATGTAACTGATTTTGATCAAGTTCTTCAGGCTGGCAGGCAAAAGATGTGGGCCTTCATTCTGCTTGAAGTGCTCAAGAGCATCCTGCCTGAGCAAGCGAGCAATTTGTTTACGTCTATCCTCATACTACCTGAGTTCCCGTATGCTTTAAAAACATGATGAATTTCAACCTGGTAACCAAGAATCAAAACCTGATTGATGAATCTCGACATACCAGAGGCTCTTCCATCCATTGGATGAGGTCCAGGTTTGAAACTGTCGAGATACCATTGGATCAGTGGCTGAACCCCGTGCCTGACCCCTATTACTGGACATCCTGACAGCTTACACCTTGACAAGAAAAATGCAAAGGACACATGTCTGATGCACTAATGGAACACCAAAACCTGAAGCATCAATGTGCTATACTTGTGACAGCTTCAAAAAATGAAAGCATCAATGTGCTTTTTGGCTAAAAAAATGAAAGCCCTAAAGGCTGCTTATGTAAAAACTACATTATTTTTTTGATAGTTGTGCCAAATAGTAAACCAAATTAATATCAAAATCTGAAAAGTAAAAAATATACTATTGTAGGTTCAAGTTAAGGTTCTGAATTGAAATGCCAGCTGTTTGTTTTCCAATTTAGATTTCTGAATTGACATGGAGATTGTTTGATTTTCAATTTGGAATTCTGAATTGAAATGGTGATCGTTTGATTTTCAAGGTAGATTTCTGATTGAAATGGTGAATGTTTGATTTTCTATTAGATTTCTGAATTTAAATGGCGACTGTTTGATTTTCAATTTAAATTTCTGAATTGAAATGGTGACTGTTGGATTTTCAATTTCGATTTCCGAATTGAAAATTGCGACTGCTTTATTTTCAATTTAGAAACAGAATTGAAATTCTTACTGTTTGATAGTTTGATATAAGGTTTTTTTAACCACCCAGGCTTTGCTGGAGTCAGTAAGATCTTAGGCGAGTACAAGTGTTCAAGCCATACTCACCCTCCAAGTTCTTTTGCCATCCACACTTTTTGACGTAGCCCACCAAAGCTGCCACATACGCCTTCACCCGTGAAATCTCTTCCCATCGTTATAGTAGGCATCTCATCCTGTGCGCTTCTCCAAGCTTCCAAGCAACTACTAGCCCAGAAACTTTCCTGAACCAACCTCCACTAGAAGTTCCTCGAGGAGGCACGAACTCTGGTACCTGAGAATGAACAATACTAAATGCATAGATCAAGAAACTTGAATCCCACACAGAAAGCAAAACCATAGAAACATATGATGCTTGAGAAAATGCATGAATTTCCTATCAGATACATCTTGAGTAGAGGACGGCCCAGTCGAAGCTTGAGAGCCTTTTTGTTTGGTGCAATAAAGAAGCTTCTTCACCTGGTCAGGAGTACAGGTCAACCTCCCCCATTGCTTCTGGAACTGGACCAGGTAGTTCTTTGGGGATGCATGCTGCTGAAGCCTCAGAGGGGGTACTTCAGGAGTGGCAGGTGCCAACAAACCAACATCAGGTTGAACTGGCAAAACCGTAGTTGCACTGGCTGGTGAAGACGCGCAGATACCTGGACTTGGGCCAGGTGCCATTGCCATAGAAGCTTCAAGTAGTGGTGCACCTGGGTGTTTGGCTTTAGAACCTTCCACTTCTCGCAGAAAACCAGATCCACTACTGGGCTCACCTGGTGGCTGTTCTGGCAGGTCAGGCATCAGGCCATCCATCTGCAGCCTGTATGCAAAGTTGATCAAGAGGTCCAAGGTCTGCTTTTGCAACTCTTCTTCATTCAAAGGATCCTGAGAGGGGACGACAGCGGGGCCAAAAACAATGAAGTGATGAGTATGACAAAATGAAGGGGGTTGGCCGCCATCACCCTCCCTCTTCATCACTACAGGTGGAAGTGGTGGAACATGTTTGCATTGCTTTGTTGCTTGTGTTACATGCCCATGAGGTTCCTTTAAGGTTTTTTCTATAAAACTATGCTTATTACTAATATTGCGACCAGTTGAACAACTACAAACTCCTGACAACCAAAACATTCCCATGCATGAGCGCACAAGAGTCCCAAACTTGCATGCGCATTCCAAAACTTTGTAGCTTGCAGGGATGGAAAGCAACACAATTGACACTGGAGGACTCTTCTGCCCAGAGTTCAAATTGGCGTGCGTTCGCGCGTGCTGGTGACAGCATCTCTTGGAGCAGAAAACGGACGCTGCGCAGGTTGAGGGGCAAGGGAAAAAATTGCGACTTTCTGTTGAACTTGTACACACATGTAGACATATTTACTTGTGTATATATATGCATACAGAATGACGTTTGATTACGTTTGTGCGAGGAGGAACGAGATAGACCCCAAAGGTCCCTGCCACATATATATATATATACGTATATTTGCAAAGATGCTTGCAATGTCAAATCTGAGTACGTCTTTGAAATCCCTCCTATCATCTCCCTATCAGTTGAAATCTTGCCTGTTTTGCATCCTAAAAGGTCCGATGAAGGGCCCGGCATTGACAAAGGAAGAACGACATGCATCCAGTGAGTGTCGTCATTTCCCCTGTTGAAATTGTTGTTTTCTTGGGATATACTCTCTGGCAAATTAACAATATGTTTCCATAACTATATGGAAAATCAGCATGTTCAATAGGTAAATCATAAAGACACCATTTTCCAGAACATGAGAACATGAGATCGTTTGATGCACAGACAAGCAAAGACAGTCTGGTGTGGAAGGTGTTGGGAGGTGTATTTGATGTGTCATATGTCGCACGAGAAAGACTAACACGCCTAAACATCTTGAGGTATACCCTCTGGTAATTTAACAATATGTTTCCATAACTACTAGTATATGGAAAATAAACATGTTCAACATGTAAATCATAAATACGCCATTTTCCATACTTAGTTTTGGTGAATTTGCCGGTATGATTCATCGTACGTAGGAGTTCTCCTCGTCAGCTGCGGAGTGGGAGGCAGAAAGTAGAGCTTGAGCAGTGGCTGCTGACCTGCTGTTGGTTGATAAATGTATGGGATTATATATTAATGTGATAAAAGAATAATAACGCATCCCCCAGTCATCGCCATCTTTATAGGTGGTATACACAATTTCCAGTCATGGGTGGTTTATTATCGTTTACCCACATCATTATCCAATTTATTGGAGATTATGATAACCCATTTGGATTTGTCTCAAAATTCTGACACAGCAATGAACTGCTGGACAAAGATGATGAAGCATGGGAAGGTCATATCCCAATGTTTGACACAAAGAACGTTGAGAACAATCTACGTGTTTGTTTTTGCCACATTTAAGTCTCATGTTTTTGGAATGGAATTCAACCAGAAACCAATACAATGGCTATATATTTAGTGTGAGTTCAATAGAAGGCAGTGTTCGGCTTGGGTCCCAGACAAGTTCACTCCATGTTGCGACGTTAGACAAATGACACTACTGATTCGTGGTTTCCGCAAGTTTCAGGTCAGTGAATTATTACTGGTTGGTGGTTTGGAACATGTTTTATTTTTCCATACATTGGGAATTTCATAAACCCAACTGACTTTCATATGTTTCAGAGGGGTAGGTAGAAACCACCAACCAGATTATAATTTGTCCAGATACTAATACTTGTTATTGTCAACCGTGTTTGGGATGATATGCCCCAGTGACATGTGACATGTGGCTTTCCATGTTTGATCGCTTCACAATGCTTCACTGTCACTGCAAGTGGAGGATCACCGGGATTTTTGGAGGAGATCACCAGGATCCCCGGAAACACAGAGCCAGAAATCAGCCAAAGCCATAGAACGTTGCCTCAAGATATCGGGAATCACGGGCTTGTCATCCAGGAACTGCTGTTTTCAAGCCCCAAAAAACGTCCTCTCCCATCATGCTGTGGGTTGGTCATGTGTTTTTTCCCGGTGAACATGGCCATATTCATTGGATCATCCAGTTTCTGTTTCAGCCCCACTTGCGCTCTAGGTCGACCATTCGGAGCACGGGGGGACTGGGATGAGGGATAGTGCTGAGATACGTGGAAGATGCGTTGAACAAAGGTGCTGACTTTGATGGTTTATTGATGTTCATTTTCCCAATCAATCAATGGGAATTTCAGGACTCTAAAATTGCTATCCTGTATCATATAAGGCCATGTCTTGTGGGGAGGTTTCCTTATGCGTTACGTGAGGGGGCCTTGTGCGCAAGTTTCAAGTGCGAGTAGTCAACACTGCGCAGAACAGAGTCTGAGGCTTGTGTTCTGAATTCTGAATTGCCAGGGTGTGAATTGGATTTGTGTATATTTGTGTCGCAGACAGTTTTGATTGGCTGCCGGCTCACTTATCATTAGAAAAAAACAAAATAAATGGGGGGATTGAACCATCCCCAAAGAACTTGAATCTGGGTTTGTCCTGAAGATCCCTTTTGTGTTGTATTCCCAAAATGTCTTAAAATCCAATAGTTACCAGTTGATCATCAACTTTTGCCGTTTTCCCTAACAACATTGCCCATGTTGGTTCCCGGTAGGAGCTGCAACTGGAAGAACTACTGGGCACTGGCAGCACGGCAGAGGTTGGGAGTGCCCAGTGCCCAGATTGAGTCCATAGATCCCAACGATCCAACTATGAAATGGTATGAACCAATATATGGGGTACTCATTAAAGGGTATGATCCAACTGTTCATTCATACTATTTAAGGGTATTAAAATGGGTGACTCATCTCTAAATGGATCTGGGTGATCTTGCTATATATTATAAATTGTTTTTCGACCACGTGTGGACGATGACGTCACGGTGGGAATGATGGTTGGTCGGGAACCATCCCTACCACAGGGGTCGTCGCTGTTCTATTGTGGTCCTTGATCGAATCCGAGAGCCTTCGGATGCCTTCGGTATCGAGAGAGTTCCCTCCGTGTTTCTTGAAACATTCAGCAACTTCCTTGCAACATGTTGTAACATGTTGTAACCGATATCCCACGCTTAGGTTTTTGGACCAGTATGGTATGGTATGGGCACATGAGCTATGGCCAAAATTATTGTAGACATTTGTAGACCACTTTTTTAGTAGGGGAGTGCTCCCTCTGGGGTGTGGAAAGTGCGCCAAACACTGCATAGCGATCGGCCCCCCAAAAAAAGAATATACCTGATATTTACGCAAAGTTGCGCATATGTAACAGGCGAAAATATAAAACCTTGGAGTTTTGATCAAGGTCAATGAAAAACCTTTGAGTATTGATTTCAGTGGGTTGGTTGAAGGGAAAATCGAAACCGGTTTTCCCATTGTTTTCCCCATCAAATTTCGGAGTGTTTGGCTTCCATTTTCCCTGAAACATCATTAAACAAACCCAGTGATGATTGCCACTTGTCACTCATTTCTGGCACTCAGATTTACCCTTGAGGTGTACCGGGCCGGTTGGCACGGCACTGACGTGGCCGTGAAGAAGTTACGCAGCACCGGAGCGCTGGAAGTCGAGATTGTGTCAAGCCAACAACTGTCAAGAGGTTTGTTACTAAATTTACTAAACATACTAAACTCACTATTAAACCCACTTGATTAAACATGTGATCGTTTCTCAACTCTTCTATTCTTAGGACATATACGGATATATATGATATTTGTTCCTCAATTGGGACCCCAAAACACTGATAATGATTAATGAACAAATCAGAAATCCTGAGCCCAAGATTGAACAACCTGGGGTCAGTACTCTTCCTGGCTTAAGATCATGTGTGGAGTCATTGGGTTCCACAACCATCCATTTGGGGTGGTCCGATCACTGACCTATATGGAGGCATTGATTCAATTGGTTTGGAAGAAATTCATGAGATCAACAAAAAACGGGCCTCCGTTCCGAAAGCTTCAAGCACTTTTTATACCAGTCCCACGAGAAACTCCATTCCGTAGGGAAGATGATGGGAAGTAACTGTGGCAATGGGTTTCATATTATTGGGGTCTCTGTCTCTGAATATGCAAGAGACATAGTGTAGTCATTGGACACCCAAAATGATGTTTTTTTTTTTCTGGTAGCAGACTTGATCACTGTAGTGACAACTGGCTGCCAACGTGGAGTAGGTACTAGGTAAGCCGCCTTGCTTTGGTCTATTCAACTTTGCACATGTACAAGTACCCAACGATGGCAAATCTGTATCTCTCGTTAATGACATTCCTTTTGAGTAGTCAGTTCATCCTTGGCTAATGGCTCTTTTGGGGGAGCGATACAGTGATACTAACTATTCAAAACCGCTGCTTGGGTGCACAGCGAGGTCCAGCTGGCAAATGCGATGACAAAGCATGACCCTTGCTGTTTGATTGGCATGCTCCAAGAAGGAGTATGGTGAGTATCCTACATTCACATCTGCACAGTCCACCAAGCGAAAATCCTTGTTGCAGAGGGTTCCGCTGTTGCATTGGTCAGACACAGCAGTTGGCAACAGACGAGATCTTCCAAGTTCAGGTGGCGATGTCATGCGATGTCATCGTGGTAACAGAGCTGGATATCCTCCGCGGAAAATGGAAGCAGTGCCCATTGCAGAGGGGGAGTTGATGTACATGTGTTTTCAATGGACGGAAATGAGCAGTAGAACCATTCCCATGCATTTGCTCCGATTGTTGCTGAATCAAAAGGTGTTCTGGTGATGGATGATCCGGTCACTTCTGGACATCTTCCAGGAAGTCACCTTAAACACTTTCCGGGTTTGGAACTGAAAGAAAAATACCCCATTTATACATGAATGTCCCATGAAAAGACCATTGACAAAATACCTCCATATTGATTAGCGGGATTTCCCCTTGCCATGTTGAAAATTACCGGGTGGGGTGTTCAGTCCGACTGACCGTTCTTAACAGTTACCAGATTTGGTCAAGATGGACGGATTCCACGAAAAAAACCTTCTGTTTAGAAGGGAAAGATGGTTTTCCCAAACTGATGCTGTCCCATTTCTATTGCTGTGGTGATCAATAATGATCCTCCATTTGTTGCTGATTCATGTTGATCCCCCATGTTCGGAGATTATTCACAAGTTAGCTCACCTTTCCCCAATTGATTGATTAACTCATTCATCTATATTTAACTGGTTAATATGAAAATTGACCTACTTAGATGGGCCGTGGGATTAGCTAACTAGTTAGTAGGTGGGTTATAAACTACTTATATCCCAATTATAATCCATTTACTAACTACTTAACTAACTCCTTGGCCCATCTAAGTACCATTGATGAACCCATCATTCACTATGGTTCACTATGGTTCACTATGGTTCACTATGGTTCACTATGGTTCACTAACCCATTGTTGGCTTTGTCGACATTTCTCTGATTCTCCCCGTAGTCCCAGTCCCAGTCCTAGCCAGGACAACTCAGCACCGAATTCAAGCGCGAGATTTCGGTGCTGCTGCGCCTGTGCCTCGCTGTTATCCAGCCTGCTGGGGCTATTAACCAACTGGGTTATCAACCAACATGATTGTTTTCAACATTTTTCAACCATACAAAGTGGGGCCCCCTAGATAGCTAAGTTGGTTAATAACTCCAATAACTATGGTTTATGGTACTTATAACCATAGTTATTGGGGCTTATAAACCAACTTATAACTAGGGGGCCCCACATTGTAGTGTAATAGACAATCAAACATCAAGCAAGCAGAATTGGATGACGGATGATGACGGGCATGTTCCGCAGAAAAGCCTTATATATTGATGCAATTGATTGAACTGAGTAAATGAATGTCAGTGGATAGTTGCGATTTTGTTTGGGGGGTTGACCCGGTCGGGATGCGTCGGGTTGATCGTTGTGATGATCGTTGTGATCATCCAGCAGCTGAGATTACGCAGAATGTTAAGCCAGAAAGGGCCTCGTAATGAATAAAATGTCCAGTTTGATTGTGACTCAATGGGAATACAATATAATATAATATAGTATGATATTACATTATATATATATTATGATTTGATACAATATAGTATGATATAATATAATATATAATATAATATGATATAATATAATATAATATAATATAAAAACATATAATATAATAATATAACATAATATAATATAATATAACATGTTATTCATGTACATCGAAATTGGTAAGTTACACCAAAATTAGGCCAGCAGTTCAGATAGTTTATTTTTAAATATCTGGATAATTTTGTTTAAAAAAATGCCTCCTTGGAGAGTGATTCCGAAGCGGACTCTCCGCTGAGCCGAAGTTGTTGAGGCGGCATCCCAATTTGGTGCTCTTCATGGGCGCGTGTACAAAGGCGGTAAACATAGGGAAAATGTGGGTTGATGAATGAGAATCGAATGGGGACAGAGCCATATGCAACTGGGGGCTGGGGGGTATCACATTGATAAGTTGGTCATGTAATATTACATACATATATGATGTATAGATATGTATATATATACACACAGATGTACATCCTTGACACATGTAGATGTAACAATGGTCGCTGAGCACATACCCGTACCAACTGGGATTGCACATCCCTGGGTAAATATGTTGCAGGGTGGATGAAACCCCAGATAGCCCTCATAGTCCCACGCGATGGGACTTGGTGTATCAAGTTCTTCGTTCGCTCTTTCCGGATCGACGGCGATGTCAATTTCAAACAGTGAAATCAACTTCCAACAGATTCCAACAGATTTGCTACTGAATGGGTGAGTTCTTGCTGTTCCATTGGTCAGTCGGACCATGGAATCTACTGAATTGTTTTTTATTTCGCTTTTTGTTTCAGACCCCTTAAGCAAATCCTTGAGCATATGAGAGTTCCTATATATAAAGTTAGCAAAACAATAGGATCCTCCCAAAATTTCCATTTTTATGGGTGGTAGAAACCATCAATTTATAGATGGTGGTTTATATATGACATTGCTCACATTGCCATCCCTTCCACATTCCGTCGTCTGCCCAGGCTCCTCAAGCGCTGATCATCTCAGAGTTCTGCGCGGGCGGAACCATCTTCGCCTCCCCGGCGGAGTTTGTTGTCGAAGCCGCTGCTGATGTCGTTGGTTGCTGGCTTCAAACTTCGGATCATATCACATAAGCAAGGGGAAAACGATAGGGGACGTCCAAACTTACGAGGGAAGACACACCTAAACAATAATATAGAGCCTGCCTCATATAGAAGCACTCTCTCAGATAATCCACGCTGACGTTTTGAGGTCCGAAACATTGGGCAAGTGGGGTTTCATGCTTTTGTGGCGAACAGAACTGCCACCAAAAAACTGACTGTTTTTAAGTTGACCAACACATTGTGGTGGTTATATAATTAGATATTCATGATATTCCCATTCTATAACCATTATATACTTTCTGCATCTCCCATTCAGCTATTGGGATATCCCCATGACTTTGGAAACCTCCATATAGATCCGGATAGTATATAACAATATAATTACAATATAATATATATATATATATATATATATTACATATATATATATATATGATATATATATATGATACATATATATATATATATATTATGTGTATATATATATGTGAATATGTCCCATTCTTCTTGGATTTGAGGAGCCATTTTTCGTCGAAGCCAGGCCTTGCTCCACCAGCGCAAAGACCTGCAGCTGCCATGGGGTCAGCGCTTGCAGGTCGCCCTGGATGTGGCCAAGGCGGATGGCGAGTCTCGCCACGGAGAATCCCGGTTCGCCGCCTTGGAAAAGGAGGGATTCACCTGCAAAATAGGGGATTAACCACTAGGACAATGGTGATTTTATGGCGGTTTAATGGTGATCTAATGGGATTTACCCTCTGGTAAACTAACAGTTTGCGACATAGAAAATGGCCATTGAAATAGTGAGTTTTCCCATGACAAATGGTGATTTTCCATAGTTATGTTAGTTTACCAGAGGGTACATGTGGAAAATCAATGAACATCACCCTTTTATAGCTGGGTAGATCAACTATTTCAATGGCCATACATTCAAGAGCAAACTGTTAGTTTACCAGAGGGTAGCCAAGGATAACTTGGAATGGCTTTGAAGATTGTAGCAAGTCATCAAAGCCATTCCAAGTTGGGAACATGAATGACTGACATGATTTGTTTCTGTTTGTTTTCAGCAAAACCCAGAGTCAGATAGAGTCAGATAGAGTCAGATGCAGAAATTCGTGTGAACGATGTGAATGGGGATGAAAGCAATGGAATATGATAGGGATACTCATGGAATATGTATGTCTTCATCAGTTTGAATATTCGACCATCCCAGACTGCAGAGACCACATTGCACTTTCCGGCTTGCTGACATTGCTGACCCATGGCAAAAACAAAAGATAGATGTGTCTGTTTTTGATCCTTTTTGGGAAACTGTACATCCTGTATAAGTTTGTTTTAATTCTGATCTTGTAACACAGATACTTGAATGTAATGTGTAAACATACGTGTATATATATATATGTTGTTGTTATATACAGAGTTGAACCTCATTTTGGAGAGCTATCAATGAACAGATGATCTCCACTAGCAAAACTGGTAGCATCAAAAGTGCCATTTGATCCTTCTCCCTCGCAGATTTCTCGGCAGGGCATGAATTTCCTTCACCGGCGGCAGGCGGTCACCGGTCACAAGTGAAAGTGGGGTAGCTATGGTGATCCCTTTGCTGTGGGGTCATCCCTTTAATTTGCATGGAATCGAATTACCTCGTGGGGTCATCAGTCATGTTTAAGAGATGTTCTTTAAATCGGAAGTCCCTGTTTCCGCATCCCTAGTCTTGTGAGCGCAAATTAATTGCGATATTGTCCCCGAAGAATGATCTAAAATGGATGCGTAAGGGCAGAACTTCCTAGCCTTTTGAAATCGCTTCCGGGGTTGATCCAAGAAACAGAGCTACTGAGTTTCAGCAGGTCTTTCAAGCTGCACGAGTTGAAACCACTCAAAATGATGTGAAACGCAACCCTTACCATATGTGGCATATCGTGATGACGATGTTTATGATGATTGTGATGACTATCCTCATGTTCATCCTGTCATGACTACATGCGTTTGTCTGAAAATAGGGTACCCCGATGTACCCCCAAATCAACCAAAATCTATCAACATCATTGTTTATCATAATTTTCCCCATCAACAAAAAATGCCTTTGATTTTTGCTATCCCCATGTTTGAAGTGACACACATTCCGCACGATTTTTCTAAGTTCTACATTCCACTCCTACAACTTTCCAGCAGGGCCTTGATCCAGGTGGTGCATCGGGATTTGAAATCCTTGAATTTGCTCCTGACGGCACCCCTGCGAAGCAATGAGGATATTCCGGCTGTGAAGGTGCATTCCGGGTATTCCGGGAAGCTGAGGCTTCGAGAATGGTGGATCCATAGGGTACAATGTGGGGCCCCCCAGTTATAAGATGGTCAATAAACCCCATTAACTATAGTTACAAGTATATACCATAAACCATAGTTATTGGAGTTCTACCTGCTCAAAAGATGGAACAGCTACCAAGGCTTTGTATGTAAGTGTGTATTGGATTGTATTGGCCTCTATCCACACGGGAGAAAGACTGTAGACGTGGGCCATGAATATTAAACCGTTCTACAATTATCCACAACCACAAATCATGCGGAACAGAATCAACAATCCTGGGAAAGTTTTGCCGTTCCTCCCAGAACCGTCATACTACAAAAAATGGAGGATCATTGCACTTGGCAATTTGGGATATTTGGAAAATACCATCGCCATTTAGTTTGCTGATTTTCCCAGCTAGAAACCTCCTCTACTTTATAGGGATTTCCCAGCGTGCCATGTTTGATTCCCGAAGGGTACCCACAAACGTACCCTCCGGTAAACTAACTTAGCTATGGAATGCTATGGAAAATTGTTTGTTTAGGGTGATTTCCATAGCCCATAGCTTTTTGTTAGTTCACCAGAGGGTAACCACTGAAGTGAGTTCCAGCTCCAGCACATGGTGCCCCTTCGCAGGTCTCAGACTTTGGTCTCTCCAGAGCTTTCCCTTCAGCACCACAACAGGCGCCCGGCGGAAGCCTGAGGCGGTTGTTTGGGACCCGAGTTGGGATCATACAAGCTGTTCACTTGCAGAGAGGCTGGCATGTCGCCCTTATGTCACAGCAGTTTGTGGTCGGTTTTTGGGTCCTGGTGTTTCACCAGTGACCTCCATAGGAGGATGGCACCACGTTCCCAACAACGAACGTTGCTCCTCAGTGGTGGCAGATCTGGTGTCCCTGGTGGCTGTTGCGGCTGTTTTCCGTCTTCGAAATTCCGAGGGCAAACTCCGACTGAAGTATGCCTTACACACACACACACTAGACATGTGTGTGTTTTGGATCCTTTTACGATCCACTACAATCCACTACCATCCACTGCATCCCCCAGTCATCCCCCAGTCCCCTTTGCCGTGCCAGGTGTGTATGACCAGCGGGGCTGGCACCTATCATTGGATGGCCCCAGAGGCCCTGGTGAATTGATTGTTATAGGGGATTAGCAGCTACCTGGTTATGATAGGGGATTATGATAATAACCCATAGGGAAACCGTTTTCAACCAAACTGGTTGGTGGTGACTGGAACATGAATTTTATGACTTTCCATATATTGGGAATGTCATAATCCCAACTGACTAATATTTGTCAGAGGGGTAGGTATACCACCAACCAGATGAGATGGGAAAACGGGGTGTTTTTAATGGCTGTCATGTGGCCGTAGCCATCCCTTCAGGTCTTATCCGGGCAAAGCTACGATGAGAAGGTGGCTGCGCTGAGGAGTGATATGGTGTGGCGAATTGCCTGGTAATCTAACATGGGAAACCGAGATGGTTGATGAGTTTTTGAAATGATGTGATTACTTCACTGGTCATCTATATTTGAAAGATCTACTAGTAACTAGTATCGCAACATGTTAGAATCGCAAGATGGTCGGTTTTTGTTTTTTCTTGGTGGTCCTTGGTTATGGTACAAAATAGTTTCTGTCAAGCAACTGGTTGGTCCACATTTAGCATTAACCTGGAAGTGTCCATAATTTGTTGTGATTTGGCGCTGAAAACCCAGAACATTCCACAACTGGTTGGAGCATTGGAGCAATGTGAAATCAAGGACTGAGAACATCCGTATACTGCTGTAGGGATCTGTAGAAGAACGCTGCTCTACTATTTTCATGGTATGTGTGTCTGAAAATGAAGTATCCCCTTATCCCCTGCAGAAATCATTTTTAATGGGGATAATGAGAATAATCCATTGGATCTCTGGAAGGTGGATGTTTATTCCTACGGCATTTGCTTGTACGAACTGATCACACGGCGGATTCCCTACGATACCTCCGGTTTGGGCGTCCCAGAGGACGGTGAAGCATGGGATTTCAATGGATTTCATGAGTTTGGATGGAAAAATGGTATGTTTTCCCAGTGAACTATCCCAGGTGGTGAGGGATTTTTGGCGAAGCAGCTGGTGTTACCCTGGTGTTACCCTGGTGTTGCTGGGGTTAAAGTTATTGGATACCTGCCATATTCATCAACCATAGTTTCCTTGAGCTGTTGATTTTGTTGATTTCTATGAGCCTAATGTTATTGTGAGTTTCCTTGGAAAGTTAGGACAGGCTCCTATGAAAAACAACCGTCTACCACCACGGATTTCGCGACCTGAAGCAGGTCACCTTGTTACCCAGAGGGACGATCGTGATGATAGACTCAGATGTTGACGATCGTGTTTGATATAAAAGATTATTAAACACTGATTGGAACTCATATGTTTATACCACCAACTCAGATGTTTGATAATTATGATATTTATATACTGGTTGGTGGTGACTGGAACATGAATTTTATTTTCCCCAACCAGATTGGGGATGATGATCCAATCTGACTTTCATATTTTTCAGAGGGGTAGGTATAACCAGAACAGAATAATCAGATGAATTTTGTTGACCGAATGTTTGATATTTCACCATAATCACATATAATCACTATGTCAATAATATGTTTAATATTCACATACTCGACTTTGATATTCACCTACCCGCCAGTAGTCAAACATAGCTAGCTGGGATATCCCATGATATCCCCTTTTTATGACAGTTTTATTGGGAAAGCATCCAACTAAATAGGGAATTTTCCAGATAGCCTGTTTGATGACACCGGAAGGGGTAACCCCATGAAATATCCCTTGAACCACATTGGATCCATTGTTAACTGTTAATCCATCGTGAATCCATGATATATCAATCCATTTGTTAACCCATTCTTAACCATATTCAACGCAGTACCATCAATTGCTGACCATCATCAATCCGCTATTAAGATCTATTAACAGTATTTATATTTGAATTTAACATGTGTTTTACCACTAATTAATCCACTGTTAACAGTCATCACTTCACTATTAACGACTATTTAATCCATTGTTCACTTCATAGAAAATGATTAACCATCATCATCCACTATCATCAATCCAGTACTAATCATCCACTATCATTATCCATACTGTTGACTATCAATTGATTATCCCATGATTATCCATTATCAGTTGCTGACTATCATCAATCCACTACCATCATGATTCTATAAGCAGTATCAAATTTGTTTTAACCATGTCCATTAATAACCATCATTAACTGGTTGATGGTTTGGAACATTTTTGATTTTTTTCCATATATTGGGAATTTCATCATCCCAACTGACGAACTCCATCATTTTTCAGAGGGGTAGGTCTACCACCAACCAGATATGATTATATCTTGTAACTGGAACTGCATGTCTGAGAGGTAAATTTTGAGCTGTCCATCAATAACCATCATTAACCATAAATCATCATTAATAACCATCATTAATAACCATAACCATCATTAATAACCACCATTAAACCATCATTAAATAATCATAATCATCATAATCACCATAATCATCATAAACCATCATTCATAACCATTAAGAACCATTTATTTCACCATCATTAACCATCAACCATCATTAATAACCATAACCATCATTATTATAACCATAACCATCATATAACCATGTGATTAACCATCATCATCCACCATTAATATAACCATATCTGTTTTTACCACAATTTCCCATCCTCGGCGAGGCCTTGAACCCGTGTCCATCGCCGTGGCGGTGAGTCGCGGCAAGCGACCGGATCCCAAGGTGGTTCCACAGGCGACGTCGGAAAGTCATGGGGAAAATCATGGGAAAACATCGGAAAATCTATGGAAAATCCAATCTATGGAAAAGCCAATGGGAAAATCTATGAAAATCATGGAAAATCTATGGAAATCATGGGAAATTCTATGAAATTCCAATCGCGAAATCGTTTTGTTGGAGGTTTTCTTCAGCATTTTCCTAGGGCAAACATAGAAAAGGATGTGGAAAACCCCTGTGGAAACCGTTCACACAATCGATCTACATTGATGGTGGGTTTTACCTCCAATTCCTGTGGATGTTTGATCATTATCCACAATTCAAAAAGGATCATTTGGAGATTTCGAACAAATAAAAATTGCGTTTTCACCATGGCTATAGCTGAGTTAAGCATGAAGTCTTCAGCCAATGGATACCAACAATGAACTCTTATTGACATATGATTATACAGGATATTACAAATATTTACAAATGGTGATATAATGATATAACTGATAATACATAATCAATTGATTTTGCTCGTTTCGTTTGGTCCAAAGACATATCCTTGACATCTTAACTATGTTCAAGTGCCAAAAGCTGAAACATATGCAAACGGGGATACAAAAACATCTTGCACCACAAAAAAAACAAGAAGAAAACATGTTGTTTCCACATGGCCAGTGCCCAAAATGAGGTGATAGTGCACTGGTTGAAATATGACCAGCAAAAAAATCATCCAGCTCGGAACTTCTGTTGGATGATCCCTGAAGTTCTGAACGTGGTGAGAAAGGTGGAAGATCCGAATTTATCCAGGAACAGACCATTAATCAAGTCGAATTTAGTCCATTTCTCCGGTGTGATCTTCATTTGATTTATATGTGTTCTTCTGATAGATTAGATTACACTACATTAGATTAGAGTAGAGTAGATTAGATAAGATTAGATAGATAGAACATATATAGATAGATAGCTTAGATAGATAAAATTGATAGATGTGATAGATAGATTAGATAGATATGATAGATAGATGTGATAGATACAGTTCTTGACTTGACATTTCAGTAGATCCCCGGACACCACGGCGACTTGTTTCGGCTCCCCGAGATCCGACGCCGGGTCCAGGATTGCCCCGCCGATTTGCGCTTCACCATGAAGTGTTGCTGGGCACACCGCGGGGAAACCCGGAGCCGCGCTGCGATTCAGCAGATTCACACGAAAGGTTTGTCGACATATAGTGGGAATATGTACATATGTATATATATATATATATATTATAGTGATAATTATATGACTACAAATGGGATATAGCACATATAAATAAATATATAGATATAGCACATATAATATAGATATAGTGTGTAGATATATATAATATAGTGATCTAATGGGATATGAATATAGATAGCTATAAAAAAATATAAATATATAGATATAGCTCTAATTAGTTCAATAGCTATCTAATATATATATATATATATTATATAGTGATCTAATGGGATATGAATATAGATAGCTATAAACAATATAAATATATAGATATAGCTCTAATTAGTTCAATAGCTATCTAATATATATATATATTATAGTGATCTAATGGGATATGAATATAGATAGCTATAATAAATATAAATATATAGATATAGCTCTAATTAGTTCAATAGCTATCTAATATATATATATATTATAGTGATCTAATGGGATATGAATATAGATAGCTATAATAAATATAAATATATAGATATAGCTCGAATTAGTTCAATAGCTATCTAATATATATATATTAATGTGATCTAATGGGATATGAATATAGATAGCTATAAAATAAATTTAAACATATAGATATAGCTCTAATTAGTTCAATAGCTATCTAATATATATATATATTATAGTGATCTAATGGGATATGATGGTGAATACTTAACTACCCTCTGGTAAACTAACATAGATAGGTATTGGATTTGTGGCCATTGAAATTTTGTGGATGACTACCCAGCTAGAAAATGGTGAATCTGTCCATAGTTATGTAAACGTTTACCAGAGGGTAATTAAGATAGCACACTAATCTCTATTTACATACCATGTGTTTTTGTGTGCTATCTTAATTATGTGGATTTAGTGTGCTATTTTGATTTTGTAATTAATCTCTATGTTTCCATAGTTATGTAAACGTTTACGAATATGTTTTTTCACCTTGTGGATTGCGGTTCTGCTGAAACTGACTTGTCAGCAGCCCGTAGGTCCCAGTGGCCGCCCGGGCTTTGACACAATCCTGGTGCCCTGGTTGCGGGGAGATGTCAGGTATCCTTGGTGCTTCAGGCTGCTGTGGTAAATTTAACACAATACCAACAAGATCATGCCCAATCCTGCAAGTTGTTGGATGATATGATAGTGATACTTGCTTAGATCTTTCATTTGTTGTCCCATTCTTGCAATGTGTATTGGTTAAAGCCCTGATCTTCGTTGCCCTCCTTATTGTAAAGTAACATAGATGTGGAAAACATGCCATTGTAGATCATTATCCGAATGGGAAAACATTGGTTTTCGACATCTACGTTAGTTTACGTTTGGATACTTTTCTCCCCCGCATGACACTATGACTAGGATGGTAGATATTCTATGATATTCTATGATATTCTATGATATTCTATGACACTCTGCACATTTATATTTTACACCATCAAACAATAAGGGCTATGGACAACATGATTCGTTGTATGCTTGTGAAATGGTCAGGAATCACGGCTAGCAAGTCCAAAGGGAACGCTGAATCCACTGGTTTTTGGAGCCTTGTGGCCTTTCCCCATGGTGTCAGTTCCTGATATACCTCTGAGTATGTTGATACCCCTGCTCCCTAACCAGAAAAAATGAAATTATATTCCATTAATTCTCAATATATACCTTTTTTTCACCAGCCATCCACCATCTACCAGCATCACACTTGGTGTTTCATCCTACCAAGTGCATGGGTCACATATCCGGTTGTGACGTGGTTCGTCCAGTTACAGCCAGGGATACGGTCGAGTTAGTTGTGCTCTTGGGTCCAATCGCAAAGCCGTTTTCGTTGGAGACTTTCTTCAGCATTACCCTGGGGTCAACCAACATCTGTGTTTCATGGTTTTTTCCCCAAAAACGCGATATGCGGTCGTGGTGAAACCACAACGTCAGCAACTTCCACCATGACTGATCCAAGCGCAACCGGCTTCAGGAAACCTTGAAGTTGGTGAAGGGATGCAGGCCATGCAACTGGGGGCCCCATGGGGGCCTTCAGGTCCTTCGACTGTGAAGTTGTTCAGGATTGATACAAGGTACCAGTGATGTTTGCAAATGTCGACCCCATCAACTCGTTCGATATAATAAATAGATATATATTATATATACCCTATGGGTCCAAGTACCTTCTCAGGAAGTGTTTGGGGTATAATTTACTATAATTTGGAGGGTTAAGTACCTTCTCAGACAGTGTTTGGATCCATAGGGATATATATACAATATACCTGATATACCATCTGGTTTTTTAACATAGCCATCTATAAATAGGCCATCTATACCATGGCTATGTTAAATAAGCGGAGGGTAATATATATATATATATATATAGTATATATATAGTATATATATATAGTATATATATATAGTATATATATATAGTATATATATAATACGTATTCCAAAGCAACACACCTGGAGGTCTCAGCAAAATCTCTGAGTACATCGCGCTTCTGTCGGGCGACATAGTCACGTGTTGTGTCGTCTGAAAGGAAGGAAAATTACAGCTCGTTTGGTAGAATAATGATAGAAATAGCCATGTATAGAAATAGGCCATGTATAATGATGAATAACTCTATATATATATAAATAGTTAAATAATCATTTCCATATTATTATGTGTAATAAATAGCCATGTATAGAAATAGGCCAAATTTAGAAGGTGATGCATATCCATGGTCATGGTCATACTCCTCTTATGAAAGTGATACGCCCAGTTCGTGGAAGTCCCCAGGCTGTTCCACTTCTCAGTTGGGTTACCTGTAAAAAACTTGCCCGGCCTTGTTTGATTTGAAGCCAAGTACGGGAAACCTATACTGTCATTTCCCAAAAAAGAGATTGAACAGATGTGTACTGTATATATATATAAGATATAAGATATGTATAAGATCATGGATATCAAGATCGGTGTGATATCATATGTTGTCAACAGTTCCGACAGTTCCCCACCAAAAAATGCCATTTTTGCATCCAATCCACACCATGCACGGAGGACACAGGTTGTGACCCATCGCCCACGGAATTCGCTGTGAGTCTGGTCTGGTCAACTGTTTGGATTCGCGACGGATGAAGATTAGGACTAGCGAAGATTTCGTGAAGTGCAAGGCCAATCGGGGACCGTAGATCTCACAGATTTATCCGGGGTATCCGGCATATCCATTTTTGACCTCTGGCCGTATGAGGTCTGTTTTATCATCCAATTCCCCTTGGGGATGATTCGAGAACCTCAGTTCTCACAGTTCTTTAGGCCCAACATGGCCCAACCATCCAGCATCCAGCATTTCAGTGGTTAATCATGTTTCAATATGGTTCAATATTAGTTGAATACTAAATATGTGGGCCACTAAATATGAACCACTAAATATGTCGTTTCAATATGTTTCAATACTCTTTTCGTCAGTGGGCCCAATTCAAATTCTTCACCAGATGTCCAATGGAGATATGCAACCATTCATCGATCAGCAGCCTACCTTCTTTCAGTGAATTTGAGACCATTCCCAGTACTATCGACCCCCGACCTCCGACACACAGCTGGCGCTCTTTTGGTGCAGCGACATATGCAGCCGGGGCATTGCACAGTTGGAAAATTCCCATCTGGGATGAGTTTGATTGGCTGCTGAGTCTATTTCTATGTTCCATTGGTGGTCCATGGTGTTGCTTAAGCCTCAAACGCGGACGCATGTGCCATTGCATCAGTAGGTGGAATGCCGGAAAAGACGGCCGAACGCAACACTCGAATCCTGTCGAAGCAAAGATCTGCGAACGCAACTGATGTCCGGAGTCTTGGGAGGGCCGTCACTGTCATCCTTCTGTTTTTTCGTTCAGGACGAACAATCCGAAAGCCAGCACTTAATTTCATGGGGTTGAACTAGAGGAAGTAGATCCATCATCCTCATCCTCCTCATCCTCATCATCCTCATCATCATCAGCATCATCAGCATCAGCTCAGCTCAGCAGCTCATCTCACTTCGCTGTGATCGGCCGAAGCAAAAGATGGTCTAACCATCCAAGGCATGGCCGGAAGGAGGGAAGCAGAGAGCGCGCCTTCCACGCTCCAATCCAATGCGCTGGCTTTTGGATATAATTTGGATCTATAATGTATTGGATGATGATATGTATACGTTATTATATTATGTTATATGACTATAATAATCATAATTATTACTATGATTATTATTATGTATATAATTATATATATAATATATATAATCATACATATATATATATAACTATATATATATATAATTATGTACAATTATATATACAATTATATATGAAATGAACGTAGACGTAGAAAATGATTGTTGATAATTAGCAATGATTATATTAGTAAAACGAAGGAATAAGTCATAATAGGGAGCATGATAATAAGACAAATGCCAGGTGAAGCCTGGCGGTTCCAAACCTTTGTGGCTCAGCTCCACATTTCTCGAGCCATTTTGGGCTCAGTGCACTTTGGCATCTCGCGCGAGGAGGTACATCTCGCCATGTTGCAGCCGGCTGGCTGCGCTTAGAGCTGGGGTTTGAGGATTCCTATGGACCTTTCAGACCCACATGTCTAGAGATTTTAATGATATCATGTTGATCCAAACTGATGAAAATATGTTCATCTTTACAGTTTGTATCAAAACATGGCACCCCTCCAGGATTTACGGTGGTTTTTTGCTGTATGTCAAATAATGTTCAAACTTCATCACATATGTTTAAATTACTAGGAATTAAATAGAAAACTGGTTTCGAAACCATGGCACAACGGGCAGTTTTTTGAGGCGTCTAACTGCGCTCTTGCTGGGATTCGCGTTGGCCTATGAATCGGGCCGCGATCCTTGGCTTTATGAGTGGGTATACCCCTTGGGTGGGCGAATGGCGGGAGAATGGTTCGGTAACTGGTTGGATTTTGCTGGTTCCGGAATGGTTGTTGCATGATGGAACCAACAACCATGTTGTTTGATGGTTATTTGTAAGCAGGTGAACTTGCATGGCAGAGTGAACATATGCAAGTTCACCTGCTTAATTGATAGAATCTCCAGGCAGACGATCGCTTTGGTCATGGGTAAAAAAGCTCCATCCCAAGCTGGCCCCCATACCAGGTCGATCCGTTTTAGGATATTTGACATCACAATCAGATTCCAATAGAATATGAGATTGACTATAAATACATATATTATATATATATGAATGACCGTGTATATAAAAAGGTAAGCATCCTGAAGCTTGAAGCATCTTGAAGCGTACTTTTCCTGCAGCCACATTGCCCCATTGGCCCATTGCTGGAGTTGACTCATTTTTCGGAGTTGAAAGTCCTGGGAGAATCTGGCAGCGACGCAGCGCCTCAGGAGAACAACACTGCCTTTCTGATGCTTCAGCCACTTAGCCACTGTGGACATACTGACCAATGGACGCACACATGGCTGGTCATGCTTCCTACAATCCATGCAGGAAACTATCCTCACATGTCCTCCCATGTCCTTCCGTTTCCGCGATTGGCCCTTTAAGCCTCCCTTTTCGGTCGTGCCGTCAGGAAACGTGACCATGTGGAGAAAGCTCGACTGCGCGTCGATCAGTCCGAATGGCACCTGGGACGACGGGGACATCCGACGGGGCTGTGGAGGATCAGTGGGGTTGCAACAGAAATTGGATGGTTCAATTTATAGCTACATGAATTGGAAAATAGATTGTTAATAGATGTTAATAGATGGTTACTAGTTTATATTAGGAACTGGATGGTTATATAGCCAACGAAAACTCTTATGATAAGACAAAGGAAGAAAACCATCATATGCCTCCCCTTTACCAAATAAATGCATGGATAGTCCATGTGTCTATCTGAAAATTCTCAAACTTTGTTGGCCCCATGAAACTAGAATTTGACCCAGACCACAATGTATTTTTCATCGCAGGCTCGAAGCCCCACAGACTGAAAGCCCGAATTTTCATGAATTTTCCGTATGTTTAAAGCTGTGAAATCCGCATACATTGCCTCTGCTGATGTTTTAAAATGTTTTAAAACCAGGCAGAATGAACCACAGCTTAAAAGCAATTGAACAGGATTGTGTACCCGCAGCTGGCTTTCAACGAAGTTGATTGTCCGTAATTCAATATATATAAGTTGGTTGCCTGAAACTATGTTTAGTATTCTCTGGTTGGCTTACCCTCCTGCAATGAACCATTGGGACCATGGCTGGAAAATGTCCCCATCGATGATTTTCCAAGCGAACTGAAGCATGTAGTTCCTGGAATTCCCAGCCATGTTGGAATCCCTGGAATCTCCGTGTGTCGAGCCCTGATTTTGCTCAGGATCAACGTGTGTTACTTCACCAATTGGGCGCGCTACCGCCTTTGGGACTGATTTTTTTTTTCGGATGCGAAGAGATCACAACTGATATCATGGCATGTGTCCAAATATCGTGAGATATGACATATCTGGTTGGTGGTTTGGAACATGAATTTTATGATTTCCATATATTGGGAAGAATCATCATCCCAACTGACGAACTCATATTTTTCAGAGGGGTAGGTATACCACCAACCAGCATATGTATATTAGAATAGATATGACATATGTACCGAAAAATCTTGCGGATTGGCCCAAAGTCTTGGCCCACTACTCACTAAAAGTCGTAACTGCCAAAACATGATTCAAACAATTTGAAATAGTTATTTAAATATTGTTACATCATGGGACAAGAGCGCAATCAAGGGCGTAGGCGTCAAGAGCTTGTACTGTACCTAGCCACAAGGATATGGGTTAGGCGTCCTTACTTCAAACATACCAGGTTATGTGAAGCAGATCCTGCAATTGGGCACCAAAATTTTGACACCCAAATGACGATTTTGAACTTCAGTTCAAAATTGAAGATGGAACCCTAAAAGCTTTCCATGTCAAACATAGGAATCAACTCTCCCCACAGCCTCAATTAAGCTGCCATTCTTTCCCTGTTGCGAAGGTAACGGCCTCGGCAACGTAGGCAACGATGGCCGGGCGGTGGCAGGTTGGGCAAGCTATGATAAATTAGGAACTGGCAAGGGGATACTGTACACTAATGTCACATCTAGTCATCATATTGTAAAAGTTGAGATCTATATTAGTATGGTATATCATTAGTATATTAATATACACTAATCATTATGTTGTACATTAATCATTGATCAGTTTCTTTCCATCAGTTTCGATCCATCGATCCCACTTAGCGGCGCTGCATTCGAAATTCGTTCCTTGTTGCGTCTCCACAAACGCAACGCTAAGGAACGTTTGGGCCCACAGGGAACGGCCAGTTGCGGGCCAAACAAGAACTCTAAGGGGTTTGTTTTGATTCCATCAGTTCAAGATCAAACTTGGGGCAGGAATCATCGATTCATCGATATTACTATAGTCTATCAATTTTTTCCAAGGTCCATTATTTCAGGTTATACTTATATGGCGGTTTTGGGTGGTGGTTTGGAAGCCTGGGAAATCAGAGTTATGTGCAAAATAGATTTGAAAAATGTGTTTTTCTTGTGTGTGTTTTGTATTTGTTTTATTTTTTGTTTAACTAATCTAATCTAATCCTAATCTAATCTAATCCTAATCTAATCTAATCCTAATCTAATCCTAAACTAATCTAATCCTAATCTAATCTAATCTAATCTAATCCTAATCTAATCCTAATCTAATCTAATCCTAATCCTAATCCTAATCTAATCTAATCCTAATCTAATCTAATCCTAATCTAATCTAATCCCTAATCCTAATCCCTAATCCTAATCCTAATCCCTAATCCCAATCCCTAATCCTAATCCCCAATCCTAATCCCCAATCCCTAATCCCAATCCCTAATCCTAATCCCTAATCCCTAATCCTAATCCCTAATCCCTAATCCTAATCCCTAATCCAAATCCCTAATCCAAATCCCTAATCCTAATTCCTAATCCCTAATCCTAATCCCTAATCCTAATCCCTAATCCTAATCCCTAATCCAAATCCCTAATCCAAATCCCTAATCCTAATCCCTAATCCTAATCCCTAATCCTAATCCCTAATCCTAATCCCTAATCCTAATCCCTAATCCTAATCCCTAATCCTAATCCCTAATTCTAATCCCTAATTCTAAATCCTAATGCTAAACCCTAATGCTAAATCCTAATGCTAAATCCTAGTTCTAAATCCTAGTTCTAAATCTTAGTTCTAAATCCTAGTTCTAAATCCTAATCCTAAATCCTGATTCTAAATCCTAATTCTAAATCCTAATTCTAAATCCTAATTCTAAATCCTAATTCTAAATCTTAATTCTGAATCCTAATTCTAAATCCTAATTCTAAATCCTAATTCTAAATCCTAATTCTAAATTCTAATTCTAAATCCTAATTCTAAATCCTAATTCTAAATCCTAATTCTAAATCCTAATTCTAAATCCTAATTCTAAATCCTAATTCTTCCTAATTCTAAATCCTAATTCTAAATCTTAATCTTAATCTAAATCTAATCTAATCTAATCTATCTTTCTAAGTATCTGTCTATCTGTTTGTTTGTCTGTCTGTCTATCTATTTACTTATCTAATATATCATTTCCAATATATCTATTTGTTTGTCAGTCTATATATCTATCTATCTATCTATATATCTATCTATCTATCTATCTATCAATCTATCAATCTATCAATCTATCAATCTATCAACCAATCTTATATACCTACATAATCTATCTATTTATTTGTTTGTCTATTTGTCTATCAAACTAGTCTAATCTTCTCTGATCTTATCTAATCTAATCTAAGCTAATCTAATCCAACCTCTCTAATCTTTCAAGTCTGTCTATTAATCTATCTAATCCACCTAGTCTACCTTTTCTATCTGATCTATCTATCTGATCTATCTAATATGCCTACTCCATCCAAGTGACCTTACCTATCTATTCTATCTAAATAATCTACATGAAAGCAAAGCAGAGAAAAAAAAACAGTTTCTCTTGAAACAAATTCCATTGCGGTCCTATCCTGTACAGTACTCTGACTGATGCAGGTTTCATGGAGTTTCCATGCAGTTTCCATGCAGGTTTCATGTTGGTTACATGCTGGGTTTGCTGATTTAGCTAACTGGCAACCTCCATGACAACTCCCTCGAACCTGCATGGAATCTGCATGGAACCTCCATGGAACCTGCATCAGGCAGAGTGCATGGTAAAACCAACAAGTGTAGATAGAGGCATCACCTCCATAACGCACATGGAAACTGCATGAAATCTACATCAATTCTCCATGGAACCTGCATGGAACCTCCATGAAAACTGCATCAGTTAGAAGGCGCCATGCAACCATCACGTTTAGACACAAGAAACAACGGAACCTACATGAAACCTCCATGAAACCTACATCAATTCTCCATGGAACCTGCATGGATACTCCATCAAGAAGCGCCATACAAGCACCAGGTGTAGATACAGGGAACAGAGACTTTTTTTTTAGTGGACACTACGTGGAAACCATCAGACGCTTTGACGCAAATTGATCGCAAATCGATCGTAAATCGATCGTAAACTGATCGTAAAAAAACGCACAAAAACTGTCATAGCATCTGTGCATTTTGATGTCGTTTTCACTAGGTCATCTGTCTTTGTTGATGTCCCTTTTTGTTTCTGCACTGGAAAAGTCAATTTCTTCCAGAGTTTCTATTTATCCTGAGTGTTCACTGCTTGGTGGTTTCGATTTTGGCAAGGTTTCAAATGTGAATTTTTGTTTGATGTCATTTTGATGGAGTTTTATGTCTGTCTCGGTGTCAACTTGATGGAGGTTCCTAACATATAATATTGCAAACTAAGTCAATTAAAAGACGAAACCACCAAGAGAAATGAACTCACTTATGTCATCTTGGATTCCATGATCACCAAACCATATGAATATATGAATTGGCAAGTGCCGTTTTCTACAGGCCTTAGGTTCTTGTCGATGTCATATTGATGTTGTTTTATGGCCTTCTTATTCGTTTTTAGGCCGATGTCAAATCGATCGACAAAGGATCGCAAAATGATCGCAAAACAACGTCGAAATCCTACATCAAAATGACACATTACAAAGTCCACACTTGAAACCCTGGCCTTGCCAACGTCAAAACCGCCAAGCAACGAACACTCAGGATAAATAGAAATTCTGGAAGAATTTGACTTTTCCAGTACAGAAACCAAAAGAAACATCAGCAAAGACAGATGGCCTAGTGAAAACGACATCAAAACGCACAGATGCTATAACAGTTTTTGTGCGATCAATTTAGTTACGATCGATTTACGATCGATTTGCATCAAAGCGTCTGATGGTTTCCACGTAGTGTCCACTAAAAAAAAAGTCTCTGTTCCCTGTATCTACACCTGATGATTGTATGGCGTCTTCCTTGATGGAGTATCCACGCAGGTTCCATGGAGAATTGATGTAGGTTTCATGGAGGTTTCATGTAGGTTCCGTTGTTTCTTGTGTCTAAACGTGATGGTTGCATTGCGCCTTCTAACTAATGCAGTTTTCATGGAGGTTCCATGCAGGTTCCATGGAGAATTGATGTAGAATTTCATGCAGTTTCCATGTGCGTTATGGAGGTGGTGCCTCTATCTACACTTGTTGGTTTTATCATGCACTCTGACTGATGCAGGTTCCATGGAGGTTCCATGCAGATTCCATGCAGGTTCCAGGGAGTTGTCATGGAGGTTACCCACCAGTAAGCTAAATTTGCAAACCCAGCATGTAACCAACATGAAACCTGCATGGAAGCTCCATGGAAAATCCATGAAACCTGCATCAGTCAGAGTACAGGATAGGACCACACGGTTTCAAGAAACTGTCTTTCCCCCATTTCAAAAATAAATAGACAAGTACAGAAAAATGCACTAGAATTCAATAATCAATTAAACAATCACGTGAAATTATTGGACAGTAAAAAAGTGTACATTTTCCGAGATACAAGATGAATATCAATTCAAAAACAAACCTAATCTGGTAGCAATCATTGTTGTTTTAAATTTGTTTTCTTTATTTTCAACGATTTCATTGTTTGCAGGGTTTGATATTTTTTGTTTTTTCTAAGTTTACAAAACCATCAATTCCCAGACTTCCAAACCACCAACCCAAACCACCACGTAAGCACAAGTTGATTATTTTTTCAACGAAACTAAGCACAGGAGGAATTACTTCATGATAGGCTGATAGGTTTACACGATGAATCACTTCCAAGCTGAAGCGGCTGTCGCACGAGGCAAGGATTCCTTTGAGATGGGTTTGGACGGGGAATCTTGGACAAACGAACTGGGGTCATGTGGAGGTTGTTGAATGGTCGCTGTTGTCCATATGGCAACATGGCTGTGTTCTCATGTTTTGTGGGTTGCATATGCATAGATATAGGTATGTATATGTATACACGCGGTATATTACCATTTATATCCATGTATGATCATTTATGTCGATTCCATGCTCATGGCTTTTGTTTGTTAAAAACAACCATGGATTTGGATTGGGCTGGTAGATGTGTGTTACTTATCGCTGGCCTATCCCCACTTTCAGGGTTTACAGTCTCCATTTTTAGCAAGAAAATCAACGAGATACAGCATGTTTATTATGCCAAAATTCCTTTTCCGTTGCTACATCTCCACGTTCATCATCGGTGTTTCCCCAGTGATATGAATATCTTTAACTTCCTATAGTATCTGTTGCTTTCATCATTCATCACCTAGATATCTACATGGTCACACGCGGATATTTGCCCTAGGGTTATTTGTTGATTTGGGGAGTTCTCTATGCTCAATTTTTGCAACTCTTGCAGCACTTTGTGCTTTGTGTGAAAATGAAAGTAGCGTTTCGCTTTGGTTTAGCACACACACATGTTCGTTTTCTAATGGTATTTGCAGGTTTTTTGTTCTTGACTCTCCCAGCCTCCATTTCGTTCAAAAGTAGTTTTTGCATTTGCTCGCCCGGTTCGTTCCAAGTCACATGATCTTTCCCAACTCTTTGGTCAAGTTGGCATGGTTGCCCAAATTGCTTCGCGACACGAAGCCCCAAACATATGACATTAGCTTTTCAGCAATGCCACCTCCAGGTCTGTCTTTGACGTGAAGAGACTGAGGCAATGCCTCATTCAAGACTGTGACTTTGCCACCAACGGTCGACACATTGTGTGCCAGCGACCACTACCCCAGGTTTCTTCCTGGATCTCACCTTCTCTGCGAACTCATTTTTGTTATGTGAGACATGTTTTTGTTTTTTAAACTTGTGGTGCGTGCTAGGAAGACCACTTTGGCCAGCTCTTTGCACCATCAGAAAAGGACTTGTTGAAGCCGTTGCATCTAATTTGATGCTGTGCAGCGTGAGGACTTGTGGATGGACAGCATGGATGTATGGCTCGCTGCATGTACCCCACTTATATGGTCGAGTAGGTGCAGCGGAAGATGGTCCGGAAGAGGGGCATGGCGGGCATGGCGCCGAGAGGGCATCCTCAACCACAGCGACCCCAGTGTTCACAGCAAGTTGAGATGAAGACGCTTCTAATGGCAAGTCTGGAACGGCTTCTTCGTCTGACACATAGATCTCACACCACACTGATACCAGCTTCAACGTTTTGGTTGCCAGAGAGTCGTCCACAGTTTCTGGCTCGGCAACACCTTCAGGATCTTGAGCACGCAAGGAAAAATATTGTTTCTGTGTTCGGTGATATGTGTCCAGGGGAACGAAGGCAACAACGGTCCCTCACAGGGCATTGACGCTCCCTCCAGGGGAACGTATGGCAGGCAGCCTGGCATTCTCATCTGCTAAAGCCACTCATCTTCACTCCAATGAAAGGGCTTCCACTGTATAGCATTCCACGGAAGAAACAGTTGCATATGCAGCAGAGGATTCAACCGCTAAGTGTCAGCAAAGCTGCACAAACACTCTCTGGCAAGGAACGAGACTGAACCCGACGATTCCACAGCCGCTTCAAAACATCATGGTATGTCATCAAGATAAACGTTCCGTATGGCCACCAGTCCGTGGACAAGATAGTATGCTGCACCAGAGCAGCGGGAGAGTCAGAACCTGCAGTGATGGCCTGAACCCATATACTGATGAGTTCGTCCAAGTAGTGAGGATCAGAATTCCACAAAGCATGAAGGTCTGCATTGGGACATGGCTCGCCAGCCAATCGAAGCAACAATATGAAAATCACGGAACAGAGCTGCACAACAGTCAAGCTGTGAGACGTCATGGTGCCTAAACGGCTATCCCGAAGAAACATTCTTCTCAAGACCACAAAAACACGAGAGAAAATTACCGAGCAATGAAACCGGTGGACATGTTGCAAAAGCGGTCAATATTTTTCCATTCATCTATCCTTTCATCTGTTTCAAACTAGTGCCCTGATTTTTTTTTATCACTATTTATATTGGACCCATCTGGAATCGCCAAAACAGCGTGCCAAGCCCCCCGTACGGCCAACATTCTCTGCACTGAGGCTCTCACCTGAGAGCGCGTTCGGTTCTATGGATTCTACATTAAAAGTGATGTGATCTAGCAGTGCATTTTCAAAAAATGTTTAAACAAATAAATAAATATATACAATATATATATATATACTTACAAATTATACTGTATATATGTAGCAGACCCATCAAGCCCAGTATCATAGCAAGATATTGTTAACGTAGCATCAAGAGCGCCTCAAGGACATGTTGAAAGTGTAGCATCAAAAGCGTCTTCGAAGTTCCAAGAACATGTTGAAAGCGTAGTATCAAGAGTGTCTTTGAAGTTCCAAGAACACGTTGAAAGCGTAGTATCAAGAGTGTCTTTGAAGTTCCAAGAGCACGTTGAAAGCGTAGCATCAAGAGCGTCTTAGAAGCTCCAAGAACGTGTTGAAAGCTTAGCATCAAAAGCGTCTTAGAAGTTCCAAGAACATGTTGAATGCGTAGTATCAAGAGTGTCTTTGAAGTTTCAAAAACACGTTGAAAGCGTAGCATCAAGAGCGTCTTAGAAGTTCCAAGAACATGTTGAAAGCTTAGCATCAAAAACATCTTAGGAGTTCCAAGAAATGCTGGACGCGTAGCATCAAGAGCGTCTTTGAAGTTCCTGTAAAACATGCTGGAAGCGTAGCATCAAGAGCGTCTTAGAAGTTCCAAGAACATGTTGAAAGCGCAGCGTCAAGAGCGTCTTAGAAGTTCCAAATATCAGCACGCACACGACAAGAACGTGATTAACCCCCCCAACCGCCTCCCAACCCACCCCCCGAACGCATGATATATCAGCACGGACAGTACAAGAACGTTATTACCCCCCCAACCCACCCTCCGAACACATGATGTAGTAACAAAAAAACATGCCCACCGGCCCCAGCCTTCCACGTGTCAGGATTTGTGCACCCACTTCATGTACGGTTTCGTCTTCGTTCAAGCCGGCGGCGCCAACGGTGGCTACATGCTGAAGAGCAACGACCCCAACGCAGATCATCCCAGTGGCAGCGAAGATCAGGATGGCCTGTGCCCTGACGTCTGTGTCTTGGTGCTGGTGGATTTTGATGTGGAATATGGGATCTAAGTATGGGATAGATGGATCAACTATGGGATAGTTGAATGGATTAACTACAATGGGATATTTGAATGGATTTTCATGGTGTGTTTCATTTAATGGGAATTTGATGGGATGTGATATAACTATGATATAATGGGATGTGAATGGGATTTTGATGGGATCTAACTTTGAACCAATGGAATTTGGGCAGATTTTTTGGAATATTGTCTTGATGTGATAAACTCAAGTTAAGGAAGAGAAAAATGAGAACAAAAACATAGTTCAAAGATTTTTAAGATGATTAAGGCGTTTAAGGCCTATGGTGAAAATCTGAAAATAGAATCATGGATTTTTTGAAGGGTTCGCAAAGCAAAAAACATTCAGATGAAATTAGGATAAATTAGAAGTATAGTAGTGATATGGTATGGTTGGGAACATGTTCCATGTATACGGATTGACCTTGTTGTCTTGGGTTTCAGAGCTGTTTCAGACCGAGGTTACGACCCCAGTTTCAGACCTGACTGGAACGATCCCGATGGTGAGAGGCGCACGACCTTGATTGGGGAGAAGTGAAACTTCAGTTTTGATTTTTGAATGTTTATGGGAATGGGAATATTTAACCATTTAAACACACATATATATATATAGTGGGAATATATAGATAGATAGATAGATAGATAGATAGATAGATATATATATATATATTAATGATCTAATGGGATATAATGGTGAATACATAACTACCCTCTGGCAATGACAGTTTGCTAGTGACAAGGCCATAGAAATAGTTGATTTACCCACTAAGAATGGTGCTTTTCTACAGCTATGTAAACGTTTACCAGAGGGAGGTGAAATTTCCTGGCCCTGCGCGCTAGCTTGTATGTTTGCCCTACGCGCCTGTACACTATATATATAATATACTTTGCAGCGTAGTGTGGTACAGTTAGTTACTTTCTTTCTCGATTTTCTTGAGCATCGGCTTTAGCGTGGCTTTGAAAATTCTATAGTTAGCTATGATTGGTGGACTGGAATTCCAATTATTACACACTTTTGAATTCATGTAGTGTATATTTGTCATACATTGTGATTTCGATCTATCCTTGGACGATTTACCTGCATGCTGGATTGAATATGCATCAAATGTACTCTACTTCCAACAAGATGTTCCGTTGCTCTAGCAGATTTCTACTATTCACCATTTACCCTGAGTCAGGGATGTAAAATCGACCGAATAGAGTTGAGGAAGTCCACGGAGGGTTGCCCAACAAAGATGGTGTTCCCACCCCAAACTGGCCACTCTTTAGTTGTAGTTAGTGTGGGCATTTATTTTGCTGAATTGGGGGGCAATGATTATTTTTATCGCAGAAATATGTCGATGATAGCCATCGCAATGGCCCTATGAATCCCATCCCCCGTTCTGCGGCCTGGTCCCAAACAAGCGTAAATCCCCAAGCGTATACCATGGTGTTTCTATAGGGGTTGTTGAATATCCACTGGAAGGGATTGATCATCTATTATCAACCATCATCACCTACCAGGTAACTAGCATATGGCATCTATGAATTAAATCGCGATCCATTAATTCATGGCAATTTACCATTGTGTAGATGGCGATTAATAATGGCCATTAATCCTTCCACTCATTTTTTACAGTACCATAAAAACCATGGCCATTGTGCATGGCAAACTCACCAAGTTCACCGAGGTGCGACTGGCCATGCTCACCGCAGCGCACCTTGAGGGGCTACGAAGGGTTGACCAAAGGGATGAAGGCCAAGAATCCCAACATCAAGGCCCAATGGTGAATTTAATGGATGTTGATGGATTTTAATGGATGTTAATGGATTTTAATGGATGTTAATGGATTTTAATGGATGTTAATGGATTTTATTGGATGTTAATGGATTTAAAAATTGGTTTTCTTGCGAAAATCTTCACCGGAAACCATTGATTTCCCATTAAGATCATGGGGTTTTCCTGTAAAATTTCCCTTAACCCAATCCATTGACCAATGGCAGAATGGAACATCACGGAACACCAAGAAATGGGGATCAACTTATGTGAGGAACATGTGGAAAAACGGCGCTAGTTAGCATGTGTTAACATGTTTTAGCCAATCTCGTGGGAAACGGAAATATCTACGGACATATATGAAATGAAGTAAAATGGTATAAGTTATATAGTGAAACATGGTCATTATGCGCTGCCATCTCTGGCAATTGTTGGGTGGTGAGGCCATTTTTTGCATCCTTTCGAGGCGCTGGCCAGTGTGGGAGGTTGGAACTTCAACCTTTGCAGCGCCAAAGGGAGCGAGGTGCACGGAGGGCACCGGTGGATTTCAGCCATGTTTCGACCATACAGATCTCAATGGAAATCCAGATGTTTTGATCTACTGAAGCTGACCAGAAAACGGATTCTCGGATTCAACCATCATGTTCCCAGTTGCCCAACAGTCGTCGACTTGTCCATATCCCCCACCACCTTCAAGCCCCAATAAGAAGGGACACCCCATTTCAACCGTTCCATAATTTTTCTCGGTTGGTCTGGAGATTCTCATGGCTTCTGGTTGAGGAATCACCACCCATCACCAGAAATCACCCTTCGGAGTCCTGCAAATGCCATCAACCCATGCTGCGTAGATCCTATATATTCTATGTTTTGACCCTATGTTTTCCAGGTTACTGGATGAACCTTGGCCTGGTAAGTTAGTGGCTTAAGTTTTTGTCATGGGAACATACATACGCTAACAACCATCTACAGTAACACATGTTTCCGATGCCCATGGAAGATTGGCCATTTCATCCTTGGTTCATGTTGGCTATCACCCAATTTTGGACCATGCTACATTTCCCAGAGTTGGATGATGGAAAGATCTGCAGGATACCCCTCTGTTTCATGATAGAAACGATGGCACCCGGCAGATTTCCCCACGAAAGCCAGTCCAATGGTCCATTCATATTCCCATCAAGTCCTATTAAATCCTTTGAAAATCCCATTACTGAATTTCGTTGCCTTTTCGATCTCCCCAACCCCTTAACACCCCCTTTTCATGGAGAATTTTGAGAACCAGCTTGCCCCCTTTCCAATTTTCGTCCTAGCTACAGGGGAACTAGAAAGAAGTAGATTGAACTAGAAAAAGGTAGAAAAGGCTAGATTTTCCTGGTTTGGGGGAATTCCTAGATGCTTCTGAGTGCGCCATCGGTGCGAAGGAAACACTTAGCCTTTTTTACGGCTATGTTTTTCACCACCTCTTGAAGCCCTGTTTGAAGCAGCCCGGGTCTCCATTTTCGATCTCCCCAGATCCCACCCGGAGGTTTGGAACCAGGGCGATATGACCTGCGAGATCTTCAGCGAGATCGCCGCCAGCGAGGCCAAGACGCGTTTGTTCGCCGCGAACATCATCGAGTTCTGCGAGAAGTGGGGCTTCGATGGCTTTGACTTGGACTGGGCCACCTGGGCTGATGGCCTGGTTTGCTGCTGGGGGGAGATTTTTGTTTGAAGGTCAAAGAGTCAAACAAATGTTTGAAGGGAAAAACGGGGGTCTAGGTGACTTTGCCCCAATGAATATAAGAAGGGCGCGAACTTGAAGGGATTCTAGAGGTTTTACCATTGAAAATGGTGGAGAGGTACCATTAAAACAAACGGTATTTGACTGACGAAACCAGGATAATAAAGTTTGTTTGACAGCTAAGAAAACCACCAACAACCACTTATATGGGCGAATCTTACTCTCTATTGGGGGCTCCGCAAACTGGCTTTTGTTCTTGCATCCCCGAAAGCACCTGGAAGTTGGACCCCGTCCTTCGATGTCCTTCGCCAGTTTTGGAAGTTGGTGAAATCAGATGAAATCAGCAACAAAGTAGGGCTGAAAGTGGGCCTCTTGAAATAGTTCTTTGTCATTCTTTGTCCAGGAGTGAGGTAGCTGAGATGTTTGGACCAACTCTTTGGAGCTCTTGGAATCTCTTGGATACCCTCTGGTAATGACTAACAGTTTGCTATTGAAAATGGCAGTTGAGATAGTGGATTTTCCCATTAATAGCATGGTGATTTTCCATAGTTATGTAAACGTTTACCAGGCCGGGTACATCTAAATTTCGTGCAAGAGTCTATTCCACCCGTGTTGAGCACTGAAGATTGGAGAATCCCTTGAAGTGAAATCAAAGGGCTTCCTCCCCAATATCCTTCGATGCGGAGCATGTTCCAAAGTGAGGATCACTCATGATGCGCATATCTCAGGGATCTCTTAGTAATCTCGCCAGGTACGGAACAAAGGTAGCCTCCAGGAAAGAACGATGTCAGGTACGGAAGAGGTGATTTTACCCTGCACATTCCCATTCCGAACAGCATCAAAATATGAAATGGCGGGTATTTTCATCGATTGGTTCTCTACTTCCAAATTAAATAGTATGAAACTTTGATCAACAAATTGGAAGTTCATTCTTAAATTAAACGGTTAATGTATTGAAGTCAATTCGTTGGCATTTCAACTTCCATGATTAGTTGGTTCCCCATCCAAGGAATATCCTGTGGTGGCCGGGCACAACCGCAAGGATTTATCTGAAGCACCGGAGGAGTCATTGGCCATTGGTCATGGGCACAGCTATGAGTTATGGTAGGATGTAGATGTCTCCGGGATAAAATAATACAGATATATATATATATATGATTAAAATTGATTATATATACAGTTATGCAACAAGTAGACATCCCAGAGGGATATACAAGCATCAACAAACGATATCACCACATATCACCACATATCAGCTGGTGCCCTTTAGACTTCAACCTTTCCAAAGTCGAAGGGCTCGCTACGGAGGATTATGCGAATTATGTCAACATGCTGAGGATTCTGAAGGAAGAGTTCACCCAGTGCCTGAGCTGGGGAGCTGGGGACGGTGATAACTTAAGAGCTGGTGATGTCATAGATCCAACATGTTTTCATCTTGTAGCCCTGATTTCGCGGGGTTCTTCAAATGGCGGATGCCCAAGTCACCATGCATCTTTCAATATCTTTCAATACTATAGTTTGGTCATGGTTGGTCATCCATGACTTGGGATGATGTGGGGCGGTCACCACTACCCCCATTCAACTTGGGAAACCTCCATTTGGATGAATATCATCAATGAATCTCTTGGTGTTTTTTTGAGCTGAGCCGCGGCCGAGCTGTAAACTCGGCCCAGCCATGCAAGGCACAAGCCCAGTCAGCCCCTGTTGCTGACCGCTGCGGTGGGCGTTGGCAAGTCCACAGCGGAGACCGCCTATGATATCCCGGGCATGAGCCAGTGACCCTGGGTCCAACTGGGCGGCAAGCATACACCATGTAACTTGACCATGGCACATATAAACTTTACTATATGGATATTGTCATTCAGTATAAACATGAGTATTACTACATTATATATCAGTTATTATTATCATTATTATTATCATCACTATTCATCTTTTGTTTATTGTTATTAGTGTTATTAATTATTAATTACTAGTAAAACATAGTATTAATGTTGTTCATGTTATCATCATCATGAGTATTAATATTGACTGTTCTTGTTGTCATGATTATTATTGTTTTTCTTTTTACTATTAGTATTTTTTTTAACATTGACCATTATCAATAAAGCATGATGGTAAACTACTTTTAATTAGTGTTCATATTAAATCATTATATTGACTATATATTAAATATTAATATGGACTATATATGAGTATAAATATACACTAGTTACCCTCTGGTAAACTAACATAACTCGGGGAAATTATTTTTTAATGGATAAATCAACTATTTCTATGACCATTTTCAATAGCAAACTGTTAGTTTACCAGAGGGTACCAAGAGTTTCTGGGGACAGTGGCACTATTGTATAGTTACAATACCGCTGCATAGTTTCTATAAATCCAGGTGTGTATCATTCATTGATACACCAATAAATACTAATATCATTGTAACACCTATTGGCACTATAGTTTATTGTAGTATCACTAATATTGGAACTATACTTCAATGATATCTATATTGTATAGTTACTATAAATCCATAAATACTAGTAAACAGGATACCAATTTTTACCACTATTCTATAGTTGCATATAGTTACTATAAATCCAGGTGTATATCACTATATATAAATGCATACTAATAGTGATATACACTAAAGAATGGCTCCATATATTATGAACGGAGCCATATATGAATGGAGCCATATATGTATAGTTACCTGTATAGCCACTATATATATATAAATCCATAAATAAATACTAATAAACAGTATATCATTCATGGCTACTAATATATCACCTGGATCCATAGTGACATAGTAACTATTCATGTATATCACTATATAAATCCAGTGGTATCACTATATATAAATATATACTAATCCATGTATATCACTATGACCATATAAATCTATATACTTATATAAATATTAATAGTTACTATAAAGCATATTGTTACACTATTACATATATAGTTACTATAAACCCAGGTGTATATAACTATATATAAGTGAATATCATTATCACTATATATAAACAGTTTAGCACTATATTTAAATCCAGCTAATTATTATATATAAATATATACTAATATCATTCATGGCTCCAGGTACCTGGATTTGATGAATCTGATGACCTACGACCTCCACGGCACCTGGGAAGATCGCACTGGCTGCGTGGCGCCGCTCTACACCACCCCGGAGGATGAACGACTGGCAGGACGAACCGTGGGGGGGTGGTGGATGTGGCGAAAAATGCGGTGTTTAGTGTTTATGGGTTGTTAAAGATCTTGAACCACCAGATCTATGATGATCTATGTGGAAAATTTCGAAGATGAAAGTAGCTGATATCCATTGGTTTAAGCCACAAACGATGAATCTGAGCAAGTATAGCCTGGGTCAAGCCCACCGAAATGGTGATTTTGTTGGGTCTGCAGTCGCTGGCTTAGGCTACCCCTTGAGCGTCTCCTGGGCCATCGATTTTTGGCTTGAGAAGGCCGGGACCGCCGGCAAGGTGGGAAAATCCCCGGAAGTAAATGGCGGTTTTAAGAATCGGAAACTGTGGGAAATATATGCCTAAATCCATATAATTCCTCTGATTGGAGGTTGATAGCTAGGAAATTGTTCGATAAATCCCTGATGTATAGATATTTATCTAGATGATTTTCCCAGTTATAAACAGTCCATCTAGTGTGGAGATGCTGGCCACGTTTAACTACCAGAAGGTGTATTTGGGTGCATCTGAAAATTGGAGGTCTACCCGCCAAATGGCCTTTTACTTTACAAGAGAGAGCAACGCCCCCCGAGAATATTCATTAAAGGGACTCAGAACCTCAACCAAAGCAGCTTGGAGACGGCCCAGGACCTGCATCAAGCCCTCGGCAACACATGGAGATAGGTCACTTCACCCTTTTATCCAGGTTTTCACATCCATATTCGGCTGGCGAAACCAGTCATGACTTGGGTTCGTCTGAACATGGGCTGCGCCTGAAATGCATGGTTATCACCACTTTTCCAAGTGGAATCAGGAGAGGGTCTTGCAACAGATCAGACACCATATATCTACTGGCTGGCGGTTTGGAACATTTTTTGTTTTCCATGTCATATATGGGATGTCATCCCTCCCATTGACTTTCATATTTTTCAGAGGGGTGGGTATACCACAAACTAGCAATTATTAACTATCATCTTTAACTATCATCAACTATCACCAACTATCATCATGAAAGTTATTGATATTCCATTCCCAATGGGGACACCATATATCGATATATTCGCACTCAACATTACCATTTTCATTTCAGTCACATCCAGCCCAGGGAGCCCCAGCCTCCAAGATGACCATGGGCGCCTTGGACACACAACGTGGGATCCGTCGAAATCGAAGACCTATAGGCTGTTTAACTGGGTACCATTTTAGTAGCAGGGTTTTGCCCTTCAATATCCAAGGTCATGTGGTTCATCCGCATCGTTCAAATCGAATATTGTCGATGTCCGCTGTGAATAACTACAATTATAATAACTGTGAAGCCAAAAATGATGGAACAGATCAAAAAAAGAAGGCATGGATACATCCGTCATATTTGAAGCATTCTATGACTTTTTGAAACCCAACCGGGCCAGGACCAATAGAAAAGGATAGAAAAGGTAAAGCCTTCATGAAAAATGGCTGATGTTCGGGAGGTCATCACAGTGGTTTTCATGTGGTTTCCAAGTCAAGTTGGACTCCACATTTGTGGCAAGCTAGTCCTAATCAGCCTATCTGGTTGGTGGTTTCAAACATGTTGATTTTCCATTTCATATATGGGATAGACTTTCATATTTTTCAGGATGGTTATTGCACCACCAACCAGCTATTATATTAGTATCCTTCAGAACGGGTTCACCAACCAGCTGTTGCTTGTAGCAAAAAATGTGCCTCCAGCGATCGCTTGTCAATGGGAAACTCAGCAAGAATGGAGGATTTTATACTTCAATGGTTGGTGGTTTCTATCATGATTTTATGTTCAACCACCAACCATTAGCCATTGAACCATACTAAAACCCTAAAAAAATGATAGAAACCATACTAAAATCATTGAACCATAATCATAGAATATGGTCTCTATGAAACCATAGTTAGTTTCTATGAAATGATTATGATTAGAAACCATAGATCATTGAACCATACTAAAATATGGTTTCTAATCACAATCATTGGTGGTTTTAGTTTGATTTTATGTTCAACCATACCAAAAGGGAAATCCCCAAGGATCATCCGCATCTTTCGGTGGCGCACCAGTGGGACCAGGGTTTTTCTCGCGCTGTTTGGAGGCATCCCCGCCTATGGTCGCGGCTGGAAGCTGAAATCCAATAGCAACAGTGGCATCAACGCGCCCACGGATGGAGCATGTGCAAAGGGGACCAGCACAGGTGGGGCAATGGGGTGGCTGGTAGCCACCTCATTTCCAGGAACTGAAGGTATTTGGTTTGTATCAACAGTGCATATCACGAATTTTTAACAATGAAATCGGGTTGGAAATCTGCAAAGAAGTTCAGAGACATCTCGTGAGTGTTTTTTTTCGCAAAATCTTGGCATTGAAGCCAGCTATTACCCAGCTACGTGTATCTGATGACCAATCATTTTTTTTTGAGATGTGGAGGTTCTACAAAGAAGATATTTTTTTAAGCATCTCCAAAAAAAACAGCCAGTTCCTGGTCATTTTTTCGGAGAAATATGTAGAACTACCAGCCCGATGGGCCACCCCCTAAAGCCGTCCTTGAAGCTGATGGATCCTTTGACGTATATGCACAATACTATACCTATAGCAACCCCAAAAATGGGTCCAAAGAAAAAAGGTAGACACTTGGAAATATGAGCTAATGATCATCGAACTACCATCTTGGAAACACTGTTCTACTTTTTCGGGGTTACTCTACATTCATATACCCTCATCACATCTCATATGCAGCTGCAAAATACATGGACAAACGTGGACATGTACGCTTGTAGACACTATAGTTACTACCATTGTTGGGATCAACCCCCTCATTGCCTTTCTTATGGATCTTAGATGTTTCCCATCGCATCTATATATAATGGATACACAGGGGGGTGACCATACCCATATATAATATATTATTTCATGACCCCAAAATATATATATATATGATTATATATGTATTTTTACTATATACAGTATCCGCAATGATGATTATATCGTATATTATCTTTAACAGATATCCTAATGTTTCGTTGATTTCCCAGATAAGATTCTGGGTACAATATATCCGTCCATAGTATATATATATATACATACATATAATACCTCTATTTTTTATTTTTATTTTTCACATACATAGAGATACATATATAATATAAATAAATATATATTTATATATAGATATATTCACATACATAGAGATACATTTAATATATATATATTTATATTTACATTCACATACATAGGGATACATATATAATATATAAATATTTATATATATTTATATTCACATACATAGAGATACATAATATATATATATATTCACATACATAGAGTTACATATAATATATATATATATATTATATTCACATACATAGAGGTACATATATAATATATATATTTTTCACAGAGTGACATATATATATCAATATATATATATATATTCACATACATAGAGATAGATATAATATATTTATATGTAAGTATATTCACATACATAGAGATACATAATATATGTATATATGCACATACATAGAGATACATATATAATAAATAAATATATATTTATGTTCACATACATAGAGATACATATATAATAAATAAATATGTATATATACATATATTCACATACAGAGAGATACATATATAATAAATATATATATATATTCACATACATAGAGATACATATATAATATTTAAATTTAGTTTTATTCACACACATAGAGATACATGTACAATTTATAAATATTTATTCACACACATAGAGATACATGTACAATTTATAAATATTTATTCACATACATAGAGATACATATATAATATAAATTTTCAATATTTTCACATACTATACAATATTTATATATTCACATAACATAGAGATACATATATAATATAAATATATTTATATTCACATACATAGAGGTACATATATGATATATATATATATATATTCACATACAATACATAGAGATACATGATATATATATATATAAATATATTCACATACATAGAGATATATATTTCATATATAATACATATATATTCACACACATAGATAGATAGATATATATATATATATATTTATGTCATGATCCCAATGTATATACATATAAAATATATATATATTACAGTATCCACAATGATGGTTATATCGTATTTTTTAAGATATCCTAATGTTTCTTTTTTTTCCCAGATAAGATTCTTGGTACAATATATCCATTCATAGTATATATATTTTTTCACATACATACATACATACATACAGACGTACATACATACATACATACATACAATATATATATATATATATACATTCACATACATAGAGATACATATATATAATTTAAATAGATAAACAAAGGCGCCAGGATAGAAATCCTGATGTTTCATCCCTACAGGCGAAGAGGGCTTTCGTGCTTACTACGAGATCACTGACCGGATCTCTCGCGGAGCAACGAAAACACACGACCCAGTCCGGGTTTGTGACTACATGGCACCCTGGCGTCGGTACTAGCGAGTTGTGGGATGATTTTGACGTGGCAAGCTGCGAAATCTTCTGTGGGGTTTTTGATGTGATAATAATCTACAATTGGTGGATTTTCCAGCAAAAGTTTTTGATTGACGGGTATTTCTAAGTCTGTGTATTTGGAAGATGACCGACACATTCCTGCTGGTTTAAATTGCAAGCGCACCTTTTTGCAAAGAAAGGATTGTATCTTGAATGAGAAGTTGTCGTGGTGAATTAGGTTGCATCTGAAAGACAGTTTTGGCTGATAGGGATGTCAATGTTGCATAGTTGGCATAGTTTCTGCTTCTGCCGGTCTCAAAACCTGTGATTTTCCAACAGAAACTGATCGTGACCACCACTTTAGGGGAATTGTAAGGGCAATCATCCCCAACTCTGGCGACCATGTCCTGTCTTATCCAAGAATTGGTTGATGGGAAATGTTGCAGGAATACCCCCACATTTGGCTAGTAAAACGATGGTTTCCTGATGTTTCTGTAGATTTGTTTTCCATAAACCAACCATTTGTGAGTTGAAGAAATGTTGCAAAAAATTGCCCAGATACCCTCTGGTAATTTAACATAGCTATTGAAAATGACCATAGAAATAGTGGATTTTCCCATTAAACATGGTGGATCTTTCCATAGCTATGTGACAGTTTACCAGAGGGTACATTGGATGAAGCACCCCTTCTTCGCAACCAAAAAGGTGGCCGACGGTGAGTGGGTAGGCTTCGATGATGTGGACACGGTTTGTGCCAAGTTGCGCTTCGCCCAGTCTCATGGCGGCAGGGAAGTGGCAGGGATTGGCAGGGATTGGCAGGGATTGGCAGGGATGGGCGCGAGGAAGATGGAAAATACATAGGCAAGTTGGAAGGGAAACACGTGGGAATTGGTGGGATTTAATGGGATACAAGTATGAAGATGTTGATTTTACTATGAAAAGGGATGATAGGGAGCATCAAACTTTGGGGATATACCATTGACAAAACCAGGTTTAATGGGATGGAATCAATCAAAAGTGAACAGGCCTACTAACCTCACCAGCTTGTAGCATTGTAGTCATTCTAGCTACTAATCTGACATAATCTAACCAAAATCAATCTCTACCCGATCATCAAACGGTGGATTTCCATAAAATCCCCGGTTTTCCTCCATGATCCTCCAGGCTTTTTCCATCGATTTCCGCAGCAGGAGCCGCGGTCTCGCAGGTTCCATGGTGTGGGCGCTGGATTTGGACGAATTTACGTGGCTCGGAGAACTGGTGGCAGCTGTCTATGCAAAAAAATGGTAGCCTTCCGAATGGGCTTCCTAAAGGGCCAACCCATGTTTGTTAGGTACATAAAACAAATCAAGATGATCCAGAATGGTGTGAAAGACATCCTGGGTTTCAATTGTCATTAGCATCTTATCCGTCCACTCTTGATGCTAGTGTTCATTATATTGCAATCGTTTATCACCATCATACCATCTTATCCATCTTATCATCATTTTATTACCATGAACTAATGTGGTTAAAACAATCATAAACCATCCCCAAAATCACCAAAAATGGTTGGTATTAACCAACAAAAATGGTTTTTGTTTTTGTTTTTACCCACATGAGTCACTTTTGGATGACCCTTGCAGGAAGGGATACACCTTGATCAGCCTGCTGAGTTCCGGAGGCATCGAGAGATGGGGAGCCCAGGAGATCCATGTAGTGAACATTCAAACTTAGCGAAGTCACTACACAGATCAAAGGAGACCTCGGCCTGTTGGCCATGATCAGTTGTAGCACTTATATGATTATTTGATCTTGTATAATGGTTATATGATATATGAACTTATATGACTATATGATCTTATATGTACTTATATTCTTGTCGGTGTCAGAACTGATATGTCTCCAACTGGAGAAAAGGGCTTGTCTGGGACGCTACGCTTGCAGTGCACGTTGTGAAGCTAGGGTTTCTTGTTGACGTGAGCTCTGTACAGTTTTTGTTCTGGAAGGGACACCGGCTGCAAGAATGAAGAAGATAGACTATGTATTGTATGTCCATTGCTACAGTATACCGCCTATATTTTTGTTGGCTTTTATGCTACAAAGCATCCACAAGTGGAAGCCGTTCAGAAATCCTATGGCAGTGATTGCCATGCAGCCCGGACCGTCGGATCCGTCGGACTCGGATTGCCATGCGTCAGCCAGGCAGCACGTGTGGCGCAACCACCAGCCAGGCAGACCTGGGCGTAGTGTGGGTTGCTTCGGATTAAGCAGTTGGTGTGGCCCTGGGTTTCCTAGAAGTCCAGGAATATAATAGAAGTTCATTGTGATTGATTGTGATTGTTGTCTAGAAAGCTAAGCGGCATTCCCACCATAACTGCCAGGCATCCACTACAACCACAACTACTACTGCTGGTGCCACCACCACCACGACAAGGGCAAGCACCACAGCAGGTACTACCAGCACAGCTGGCACCACAACTGCGCGGACCACTGCTCCAGTGACGACTACCACCACGCAGAGCAGTGGCACTGGCACTTGCATCCACAACACGGATTGCGCGACAAGTGATTGGTGTGACCAGAAGGAGGCTCTTGGCCAAACGGGTGGAGTTCAAAAGTGACACATCCAGTTCTTGGATGTTCTTGGTCTTTATGAAAACATTGAAAACCTGGATGCTCATTGGATGAAACTATCCACAATTAGCCACATACTCACTATTTTTAGTACCAAATATCCGCGTTTGGCACCCAAATCAAAAAATCATGTCACATCAATTCACATCAATTCACAAATCATAGAAAAAACACATAAAAAAACACGAAAAAACGTGAACAACCATGAAACAACCACCAAAAGTGTGTCATCTTGCCATTCTATTCGCATCTTTTCGCAGGTCTACGAGACGTGGTGCGCCCAACGTCCCGACTGCCCCTGGCCCTACTGCCTGCGCAGCGGCTCCACTGGTTCCACCACCGGCGAAACAAGCACCAGGAGTGACAACGGACAATGGGGCTAAAAGCAACCATAGTGGATATATATATAATAACCCATGACGGATCCATGGTGCTGCTATATATAGTAACATGGATCCCATCAATATACCCCAGTCATGTTAGCATATATACCATACATGGATCCTATGGGTAAGATGATATGATATTATATTACGGTATATGATATGATAATATGATATGATATGTTGTTAAATTATATATATATATTATGATAATATGATATATGATAATATGATATATGATAATATGATATCATTCATGAAATTATATGATATTATATCCACGATTACATTTATGAGATTTGATATCAACAATGATATGATATGATTTTGTATATGTAGATATTATATCCACTATTACATTATGATATAGTAGTGGATATAACAAGACTTACTGGTGCTATTGGTGCTAAACGTAGGGAATGGATGGGAATAGGGGTTGCTGGGATTATTATTGATAGTTATTGTGGATCATTCCCTCATTCCCTGCTAAGCACCAGTAAGAAGATGATATGACATTACACCACAGTATATGATATGATAATATGATATGATATGATTTTTTATGATAGGGAAATAATGGGGATATCAAATGATATAAATATAGTAATTAGTGGAGATAGAGATATGAGTAGATATTATAATACGACAACGAAATAATAGGGATATCAAATGATCTAACTATAACAGTAGATATAATAGATATACCATAGGGATATTTCATGAGATATGAGAAGCATAAAAACAATGTTAACCATCATGAAAATCTATTTTATATTATTCACCATATAAATCACCATATAAAATAGGTTTTATAATATAAAATCACCATATTATTCACCATATAAATCACCATATTATGGTACTTCGGGAATGTTAAGCCCAATAACCATCCCGAAGTGTGACTTATGATTGGATTTTTTCCGGGTATACCTCACTGGGACCTGGGATGATGTAAAATGAGCGCCAGTCATGGCGCCACTTAGTGGGATGGTTTACCATTTTGTTTACCCTCTGGTAATTTAACATAGCTATTGAAAATGGCCATTTATAGTGGAATTTCCCATTAAAAATGGTGATTTTCAATAGCTATGTTAAATTACCAGAGGGTACTACACTAATGAGAATAGTTCATGGGGGTAGAATGTGAATATTTTTTGGGGATAGCATGTGGATATAATGGGGATTGAATGGGGGTGTAACCAATGATGACTTGTTTAGTGGTTTCAAACATGTTGCATGTTCAACCCTGGCAATCTCAAACTACTTTCATTTTTTTCATGGGGGTGGCTCAACCACCAGGCAGATTGGCGTTGCTGACCTTGGGTGAATTTCTCATGAGTTCCATGTTTTTCAAGTTGAAACTTGGGTGATTCTTGTGGAGCTCCGTGTTGATGCAAGAGCTTGGGAAGAACATGATGCTTCGAGTAGGGCGCGCAGTATGTTGCAGTGATGTTTTACCGCTGGATACAGATGAATGCTGTGAAACCATGTGAAGCCATGTGAAACCATGTGAAACCGATCCGTTTTTAAATCAGATTGTTTCCACTTGGTACTTTCAGTACTTTCTTCATTCGACGAAAATTGGTTTTCACATGCCAATCAGAAGCCAACTTGTTTCTTGGCACTGCGGGAATTCATTTTTGTAGGACAACCACTCAGGGCGCCACCACGACCGCCACCACTGCGGTGACCACGACTGTCACAACGTGCATTCACAACACTGACTGCGACACCAGCGACTGGTGCGATCAAAAAGAGGCGCGAACAGCTTGTCAAAAACACGCAGGTGTTCTAAATCAGAAAACTGCAATGAGTGATTGCCTTGCTTTTGGCCCCCGTCCCATGTAAACGCGCGGAGAGCGCGATCCAGTCCCCCCTGTAACAGCGATGTTATGTTCATTTTCTGCCACGCCTGTCACATTTTTGAGAGTGTGGGGTGAGGGGTTGGGGGCTGGGGGGGGCAATAGCGTTCTTCTGCCCTGGTTCTGTTGACACGTTCTGAATCTTCAAGTAACTTCCAAGACGCTTTTGATGCTACGTTTTAAAGTCCTTTTCAAACAACTTCCAAGACGCTCTTGATGCTACGTTGTAAGATGCTTTTCAAACAGCTTCCAAGATGCTCTTGGTGCTACGTTGTAAGGACCTTTTCAAGTAACTTCCAAAACGCTTTTGATGCTACGTTGTAACATCCTTTTCAAGGTCCTCAATTGTCAAAGAGCTGCTTTGAAACAAAAGGCTGGCTACCACCGAGTCATGGATTTCAGCCACGAAGTTTTAGCTTCAAAGACAAAATCGTTTGGGTCGGGGTGCATCAAAGGATAGCACTTAGACCAATTGGCAGTTCAACGGTTGTCGACATCCCCAGGATTGAAAAGCCTGTTAGCCTGTTGGAAGCCTTTTCTGTCGCTACGTCAAAATAGATGCAGTCAGTGGGGCCATGACCCAATAGCCTTCTTGGATAATCATCCAAAAGGATCACGAATGGCCGTGACAAAAAACTTACTTCGAAAAAGGACTTGAGAGCGCCATTACAGAGCGAACTAACCATCTGAAGGCGCGCGTTTACAGGGGACGCGCGCGTTTTTGGTGGAGTGTTTTTCAACCCCATAAGAAACCATTTTCGGATAACGGCGGACAAAGCTGGGCCATTTTGCGGTGTGTGAGCACACCATACCAGAATATATAATTTGTGGTGTTAAGCTATATTTATCGCCATTGCTGGTAAAACATGGTAAAACCATGTAAAACCCTTATTTTTGTTTCCAAAAAATGCTTCGAATCCACATATTGGTACTTGCGTTTGGCTACTTGATTGGTTCAAATATTCCCAAATGTTTGCCAGAAAGATCCCCAAAATCAATCAAAATCATTCATTGGATTGGTTTAAGCTGCTTTAAGGGAAAATTGAAACCGGCACTTTCCATATTTGATGAGAAAACAAATGTTTTTTCCGGTTATGTTTTATTCCTTAAACCAACCCATTGACAAAAAAACCTCCAAACACCGGGCGGAAAAAAACAACCCACGGCGCTTTCCAGGTCTATGAGACCTGGTGCGCTCAGCGACCAGATTGTCCCTGGCCGTACTGCCTCCGCAGTGGCTCCAGTTCTACCACGGTCACCACAGTCCCTGCAGGTGCCAAATTGATGGTTTAATATATGGAGGTTTCCTGAAATTTGGGTATCCCTAAATCATCCATTTTGATAGGATTTTCCATTATTGCCCATGGAAAAAAACTGCCAGCTATTGGGGATCCATTTATGGAAACCTCCATATGCGGTATGTGGAAAATAATGAGAAACCAGAGAAACCATGCAATGTTGGAGGTTGGGGGAATGCAACCAACAATGGCTGGTTGGTGGTTTGGAACATTTTTTTCTATAATATATGGGATAATCCTTCCCATTGACCAACCAGATGGTGATATTTACCAGCTGTTCAACATTTCAGATGGCCATCGGTTCAGGGTGTCGTGCCACGACTTCGGAGTGGGGAGCCACTGATGCAAAGTGCGAAGCAGCATGTGGCAGACTTGCCACAGGGGTTTGGCCTTGTCCCTCGGCCGGGACGGATCTAGAGGACGCGGCAGGGGCAGGGTGAGAGTTGGCCCCCGGTGCTTGTAGATCTATGAAAACCAGCCGTTTTTCCAACATGGCTGGCTGGAGAATCCACCATTGATAGATTTCATAGTTGATTCCCCCACTAAAACCTCCATTTATTATGGGGGTTTCAATTGCCATGTTACGGCAGTGTGCATCTTGTGGTCACTTTGCATACTGCAAGGGTTGACCGTTGCACGAGTTGCCGATGCATGTTCGAATTACCTCTGGTTATTTAATGTAATTATGGAAAATCACCATTATTGAAAACGGGAAATCATATATCATCTTTTTCTATGGGCATTTTCCATAGCTATGTTTATGAAAAACCAGAGGGTACAGGTATCATCACATGCTTAAAGTATTGTCTGTTGCCTTTCGGCAGAGAGAGAGAGACCGGGAGACCTGGCAATGGAACATCTGTGACTTTTCCTTGATAGGTAAATCATCTACTTTCATGTGGGATAATCCATGGGTGAGATTACCGGAGAATATGAATGTCACAATGATTAGATTAAAATGCTTAGTTTCATCTAAGTTGAGACTGAAAGATTGCTTTTTTTTTGGATAGCACCCGATGTTCCGGGATCCATACACACCTGGTTGTTTCGAAAATGGGATATCCCTAAAATCCACTGACTGGTTAACCTTCAATTACATTCACCACTATAATCCCTATATTATCCCTCTAACTATAACTTAGGATTCTCCTAACTGCTATTTTTTGTTTGGGGTGCGGGGAGGCCAAAAACTACCCCATCCCATGACCCAGATGCTGGCAGGTGGCCAAGGAGGGCCATGTGCGTGTTGAGCCGAATGGCCGAATTCGCATGCAACGTGCCTTGTGGAGATTGGACATTCACCTGCTGATGTTGTTTTCTTTGGACTTGGGGATTGGTAAATGTCCCATTTTGGGAAGATTGGACATCACCTTATAGTAGCCATTATAGACCATATACCTAATGGTTGGGTGATGTTCAATGGGGACATTTAATGACCCATGGGAACAGTTGGAACATGTTATTCTTCTGCTGGGGGGGTGGAGTTGACAACTACTTTAGCATCTTTGGCTATATGTTTTAGTCTATTTTAATGATTCTGATGGTTTTTTGGGGGGGTTCAGCACCATGTCCATACCTGCCTGGATGGTCCACATCCCCAAAATATTTTATCCTTGGTACGTCCTTAACTAAGTCGAGGGGGTGGAGTCGGACTGAGCAGAGGCAGTGGGCCATGCTTGATGATGTCCCGTCTGTGTGCTGTGCAACTCAGGAAGAAAGATGAGCGTCAAAGTTGCTGGTCACATTGCCTTGTGCACTCCTGTTGTTACAGATTCAACACGGCACGATTGTTCAGAAGCGTTGGATGTTCATGGCTTGGCATATTCAACATGAAGACCTCCATCAAAAGAAACAAGTAAATTCTGGTGGCCCGCCAAATATCTGCCAGTGAACAAAGAGAAACCCTTGGTTTCAGGAGCAATCTTAATGGCACCCAGTGATGTACAACTTCTTCCGCCACCACACTGTGGTTTCCGCTTGAAACTCGAATGGTCCCATAAGTATATTTCTAGTCAGGTGCATATCCTTTCCTGCTTATCAAGGAACAATCAAAGAATATCATGCTTGGCCAATATGTATCCATCATATCCATCACCCCAAGCCCTGATATGTCGGCGCTTGACCATGCCGCGGCGAGCTGTCTATTCGGGTCGTGGCTCTCTTGGTCGCTTGGACCCGGGGACGCTGCCTGAGACTAGGACCTGAAGGCCCTGTAGACCTCATCAGTCTTCCACCTCAGGGGGCAGGGACCTGAAATGTTGATGTCTTCAGCTTTTTTGAACCGGTAGATTGTTGGCATTTGTCACTGGATGTTCAAGGCATTTTGAGCTTCCAGAGTCGAGCGGACTTCATGGATAGGGGCTGGGCAAATAATGATGCCATTTTAAATACCCAGATGATGCTCAATGTGTCTCAAGGTTGTTTTCGATTTTCACCCATTCGTGAATGTAAACGATTCTGTGCATCTCTGTTGCTACAGTCGAAGGAAGGTTGCAGATGGCCCAAAGTTCAGCACAGATCCATCCACCCCCTGAGACCGTGCTCCTTTTGTAGTGTGGGGTTGTAGTGTCCCAGCGCTCTTGCACGAGATGTAAAGCCGCTCTTGAGAGCCTGATGATCGCAGGTGAAATAGGTAGGGTCACCAATAGTTTACGCCCTTGGAAGACATTACATTGGAACAAAACAAAAATCAGCATGAAGTGTACCGAAAAAGCAACTGGCAAAAGTAGTTCTGCAAGGATGGGGTGTGTTATCTTCTAGCAAAACTTGTTAATGAATGACCAGGCAAACACTTGCAGCTTTCAATTCTTGTGATGCCAATTGGGATTAAACATGATTAAACCGTAGTGGAGGCATCTCTCCCAATCTTATCCCTCATAAATGTAACAGAAATTTGAAGCACCCAAAGATTCCCAGGGTATATTTTGGTGATCCACCGTTTCAAAGGGATTCCGCATGCCACAACGGCTGCGGCACCCACAAACCTTTGTGGTGATCGAGCTTTTTATACGGATCAATTTTGAGATGCTGAATTCATTTCAAGCATGAACCAAAAAACGAATCATTCTTGAGCCTTAAGTATTCTGTCCCAAATCTTAAGCATTGAAGTTTGTAGGAAAACTATGAAGATCATAGGGGGCTGGCCTGATTGTGGCTTGACTGTAAGCATAGCAGTCCTGCTGTTTTTGGTTGGCTCAACCACGGGTGGCTCAAACCTGCCGAAACAAATAGAGGATGTTAGGCTATAGCAAGACTCTCGTAGAACACTTGATTGTACAACAGTTCTTCACAACAATTGTGCAGGTCGTGCACCTACAACACACCTGCTGTAGGATGCGCATACCCCTCTTGTCCAACAATTTGTACAACATGCTGTTTTCGCGTAATTCTCGTAGAAGGTTGTTGCCTTGTCAACATCACCTGTTCTGCTTGTCCATTTCAGCGTTTCTCAGTACTACTCGTACATAGCTGCATTTCATTGCATTTCCATACATGCAGTTCTTGTCTTCTGATTTCGAACGCACCCAATTTCACCGAAGCCAAGCCAACTGTTCAAGAGCGAGATTGTCAACAAGAGTTCCTCTGAAGTGCGCCAAGGAACAAGGACAACATGTGTAGAGCGGCACCTTGAGATTCTTCAAAGCAGGGTACGACGGCAATATTGGGCCATTCTACTGCCAAAGCAGAAATTCCTAGAGTTGTTTGAAAGACAAACAAAGCTGGATGGACAGGTGTCAGAAACAACCCTCTCCACAGCAGGGGCAAATCTGGAAGAGTGCCAAATCGGTGAGTGTGAAATATAGAAAAATCAAACTACCTTGAATATCCTTCAACAAGATTCGGTAGCTATTTCCACGTGGAACGACTTTTGAGACGAATTGCCATGGCAGCTGTGCCCACTTTCTCGGCTTCGCATTTGGTAATCAACAGCGCGTTGGGACGACCAGGCAGGGGGACCCTTGTGGCATCGGGCTGCAGAGTGCGTGGTTTGTGTTGGAACTTGGAAACTATTCACTGGGTTTTCTATGGTTTTTTTCGGCCCATTTCCATCCATTTCCTGGATTTTGTATGTTTTTTCGGCCTGTCGAACTCGATTTTCTGTTTTTTTTAAGCCAGGCAGCATCTTTTTGCAGGATCCAATCTGTTTCCGGTTGGCTGGTCACAGTCACAACACTATTGAGGTGCTTCAAGACGCCCAAATGAAGAGGCTGAAGTTGAGGGATGGACGGTCTCAAATTCCCAGCGGTTCATGTTATTTCAGACGCTGGTTGCCGGTTGCCATTCGTCATGATTCCAGGGTGACAAGGATGACCAAAAGCAGAACAATTGGCATTGGGCCGTGCTCCCCAAAGTAGCTCGAAAGCAGATCCGCCCCTAGATCCACTCCGTTCCACACCAGTTCACAGCAATTACTGTACCAAGATATGACATCTGGATCTTCAGCCAGCAAGAGGTATCAAAAGCTCCTCATCAAGTTGAATGCAACAATATCCACGATTGTACAAGGAATACTTTGCTTTACATCCAGATTAGTAAGTGAAAAAATCCCAAGGCCATATCCCAAGCATGGCGCGCCAGGTCCGAAACAGGTGCGACCCATCGATCAAAGTCTTTGGGGCCTTGATCGCTGGGAACTCAGGGTCACGATGGCTTCATCCAATCCTGGTCCAATCATCCTCTGTTCATGGCTTTAGGGCAGCAATGAAAGCTTGCAAAAGGGTCTTTGAGAAAAGTGGGTCTGAAGAACCATTTCCTGGTTAGCGTGCACTAATTGTTTTCTTCTTTGCATCCATTTTGTTAGAAGACAGAGAATGATTTGATGCACATCTCCAATTTTGGTTGCGAACTATTTCTATGTCTCACATCTCCATTGCATGGTCCCATGGTCCCATTTCGACAGTGTTCATCCGCTGCGGCTGTGTCCTGTCGATGGCTGAGTTTGGATGCCAGAGACACCAACGGCTGCACGGCAAGCGAGCGGCGCGTCGCGCAGAAAGCGAGGGTGACAAGGCTCGTGCAGAGATTAAGGTCGCAACCAGGGGAAATCATCACAAAATATCACATATATTCACAAATAAAGGTTGGATTTCCACCATATCAACAATCGACCAAGTGCTCTTAGAGTGAAATGAACAAGCCTTCAATGTCTAATTATGATAATTAGACCCTATGTGCGAAACCTTTCAGACCGTGGGAGTTGCAGTTGCACAGTTCATTCTTGTCTGAATGATCGTAAATGTTGGTGCCCAATCACCAGCGCGCATATACGTAGGGAACTCAAAGGAATAGTATTTGCATCGCAAAGTTGAAAGAGCCTACGAAACCTGAGTGACAGACGCAGAACCCAGAGTACGCCTTATTGAAAAGATTCAATAAAAAAACGCTAATTTCAATAAGTGAAGACCATTTCAATAAAATTATCATTTTTATTGAAATTTTGTTTCATCACCTCTATTGAAAATTTCAATAAGTTTGTACCCAAACCAATAAGGATTTTTTTGTATTTTTCAATAAGGTTTTCTACATTTTTCATTGTTTGATCATATGCTTATCCTATTCATGAATGATTTGGCACATGGAGTGGAAAACAGCAGCTCAGCTTTTTTCACACGTGATGCCACGCCGTGAATTTCACTAGGCCCTTGTGCAAGGCTGCTGCCAAAGCCCTTTTCAAGGCTACAAAAGCCCTTTTCAAGGCTAAAAAGCCCTTTGCAAGGCTGCTGCCATTAATCTTCACTGTCTGAACTTGCAAGTTGAACTCAGCACCCTGGCTCCTCAAGTGTGGTGCCATTGAGGCAAGCATGTCCCAAGGCAGACATATGGCCCACCATTGTTTCACCAGAGTAGCAAGAATAAAATTTTGGATTGAACCACCTGGATTGGAGCTCCAAGTGCTGGCAGAGGTGCATTTTCGGAATGGTATTCCACATTAATACACCTTGCTGGAGGCAAAGAACTGAAAGCCTGCTGTAGTGTAGCAGGCAACTGTTCATGGCCTTGGAGAAAGTTCTGGCATCAGTTTGGCTGGGGTGCATCCCAGCAGAATCCATCACCTCATACACAATGTTCAAATGTTTGAAGCATTTGTACTTGTGCTGTGAATATTCGTCTGTTGCCAGGTTGGCCTCACAGATCTGGAGGAACACTGGAACCAGCCACCTGCATTGCTTGGCCTTGATGCCACTGAGGGATGGGAAAGTGTCCCACTTGCTTTTGGGAGAGCAAAAAGAGGACATAGGGAACCTTTTGACTTGGTGCTCAGACTCAATGCCCAGCTCTTCATAAAACTGGGCTATTTTGTTCTGAAGGTTCCTCAACCTCTCCTCCTGAGTGCCATGATCATGTGATCTCATCACCATGTCAAAGGCTGCATTGGCAATGCGGTGGGCTGCCAATCCTTCCTCAAGGACATGAAGGATATCATATTTGAATGTCAGACAGCTGGCACTTGAGACACCAAATGTTCAGTTGGTGATGTGCCCTTGTGGTCCACAACTGTTTCCCTCCAGGAAGCAGTGGGTCTGAAATCATTGTAGGGGTGGCTTGTTTTGTTCGCATCACAATTCCAGCACACTTGCTCCATGCTTGCACCATTGAGATGGAATTCATTGGCCATGTATTCACCATCAGCCTGGGTGGCATAGAGGAATCCTCTATACCCAGCTGTGCTGAGAGGATGCCCTGCCATCTTGGCCCTCCAGGAGCCAGTGGGCCAATCCTTGCCCATATGGTCCATTTCTGGGAACTTGTTGTAGAAGGTTGCCTCCAGGCTCCAAACCAGCACCTTCCAAATATGATGCATGGTGTCTTTTGAATCATCATCTTTGTTTTTGTTGATGCAGCCCTTGGGCAAGGCAATAAGCAACAACTGGGAGGTGGCAACATTCCAGCTGCTCAAAAGGGATCTGAAGCTGATGACATTGATGCTATCATTTTGCTGAAATTGCCCTCCATCTCCATGAAGACCCAATGGGACAAACATCCTTCTGGAATCCTGAGCTCACAGAAAACATGCTGCAAAACCAGCCTGGACAGGAGCCACACAGACATCAAACAATTGCAATCCAAGTGTCTTTCACTGGTGAATGCTGGATCTGTGGATCTTTGGAGCTGTGCTCATTCCAGGAGCTCTCCAGATTCTGGAGGCCACTCACCCCATCTTTCAGGCACAAATAATGAAACCATTCATGGGGGAGAAACATCCCCACCTTTCTTGTGGCAACAGACATGCCATCAGATGTTCTAAGAAGGACAGGACACTCCACACTGTAAGGGTTTGGCACATCTATATCAGCAGCCTTGCAATATTGTGTTTCCAGCTGGTGGGCTCGATGGTTGGGGTTTTGCCCATTGTTCCCCAAAGATGCCATCTCTTGGATGTCTGAAGAACTTTGCCCTGACTTCACTGCTGCCATGGCAAGGGCTTGTATGGAAGGTCCCTGGGCCCAAAAAGAAAGCACAGATGGCCCAAAGCAACTGCTATATGTGTTTTGGATGAAAGATTCACAGATACCCATGTGCTACCAAGATGCTGACATGCCATTGGCAAAGTGCTCCAGCAAACAGGTCCCCAATGGAGACATCTCTTCTGCTTCTCTCATGTTGCTGCTGCTTCCATGCTGCCACTTCTTTCTTTTCCATTTTGCCTGCATGGCTGCAAATCAAAGCTGGGGCCCTTTCACAAGGCCAGGCGCTGCCCTTTTGCAAGGCTTGTGCACAGCACTGATGCTTGAGCTTGCAAAAACTGCAAAAAGGGAGGTATGCAGAAAATGTGGTGGGGAGCACAAGCCACTGCCACAAGCTACTGCCACTCCCAGCCCCAGTTTTCAAGTTTTTCCACTTCTTGCCACTTTCCTCAAGCAACTGCCCTTTTCCAAGGCTTTGGCCATTTGCTGCCAGCCCTTTGCAAGGCACTATATGCTTCCCTTCTCATTGTTTCAAGGCTTTGGAAACCCTTTTCACAGCCAAAGCTGCTTCCAGCAGCTCTTCCTTGGCAGCTCCCATGTTGACCTTACTGCCTTGCTTCACCAGCTTTTGCGAACTATCCAAAGATGCTTGCACAGATTTGGCATGGGCTGTGTCTTTGGAGCCACTGCTGCCTTTTGAGATGTCATGCTTCAATGACTTCAGCAGTGTGACCATTTTGACGATCCTGTTGGCAGCTAGATCCTTGCTTTGGTTCTTTCCCAAGTCTGAAAGAACATCTGCTTCATCCACAGTTGCTTTTAGCTTATTCTTACCAGCCTGCCCATCCTCTTCATCATCAACATCTTCACTTTCTTTGTCTTTGATGGCCAAAAGGCCTTTCCTTTTTTTCTTTTCCTTGTCTGGCAGAACCTCATTCAAGGCATCCTAACCCAAGTGTCCCTCAGTGCCTTCCAGCATGGAGCCAATGTTCTTGGCCCTGATCCATTCCAAAGCTTCAGCCTTTTGGCACCCTTCAAATGACATTTGGTGCCTTTGCTGTGTGTCCTTGTAGTGAATCTCTTGGTTCAGAGAGAATTGCCACTCATGTTTGTCTCTGGGATCTCTTCTGCAAGAAATACTGCCCCTGGACACCTCAGAAGGGATGGGGTGCTGGAAGCTGAACAATCAAAACTAAAGCAGCAAGCAGCATGGCACTGGTGCGCTAGTGTTTTCCAAGGTACCCTCCTCATGGCTTCTTTCAACCCAAACCTTGTGAGGGTGCTCTGAATCCTGGGTTTCCTTGCTACCTTAGGTGGCACACAGGTGCACACAAAACACAAACAGACAAGGCCACTGCAGGCTTGCATCCAAGCCACCAGCTGTTTGGCTCAGCTGGATGAGTTCCTTCTGAAACAGGTTGCCCTTCTTCAAATCCCCTTTAGTGTCCAAGAAAACTTTGAGCAGCTGCTTCTTGGGCCCATCTAACCCCTTCCCTTTGCAGGTTTGGTTCCAAAGCTCTGCTGCCTTTTCATCTTTGAGTGCATCCCTGGCCCTTGGGAACCTTCCCCACAGGCATTCTCTTTGGCCTTGGGTCAAAGAGCTGAGGAATTCATCCACTGACTTCCCTCCTTTCTCATGGAACTTCTCCATCTTTTCCTCAAGGGTCAGCCCCTCATCATTGTTGGGGAGGGCCAATGCAGCACTTGGTTTTTTCATTTCCTTAGGCATTTTCACAGCCTTTGGCTTTGCCTTTGGCCCTTTCACAAGGCTTTCCTTTACCTTTGGCCCTTTCTCAAGGCTTTCCTTTGCACTTGGCCCTTTCACAAGGCTTGCTGCTTTGGATTTGTTTTTCTCATCAGTTTTTGTTTTTTTCAAAATCCCCTTCGGCTTAGGGCTTTTCATGGCTTTCATTGCCTTTCCCATTGTGGACAGCTGCCCTTTGCAAGGCTCTTCCCAATTTTTTTGTCACAAAAATCCTTGAGCCTGAAAAAATGCTGCATTGCTTTTGTCATGGCCAATTATTCTGTTTTTTTTTGAAAATGTGTGATTTCCATCTTGGGCATGCTGGTGCCAGAAAAAACAGCAGCCATCATATGGCATCATATGACATCATATGATGGCCCCTCCCATCATATGATGGGTTTTTGCCATCATATGGTGGGTTTTTGCCATCATATGATGCCCCTCCCATCATAGGATGTCATATGGTGCCATATGATGGGCCATGATTTTCAACAATGTTTTGGTGTTGTTTTTTTCCTCCAGCAACTTGAGTTGCTGTCCAGTTCAAAAAAATGGGTTGGATGCCACTGCCCTTTTCAAGGCTTGCAATCCAAAACCCATGGCCCTTGTCAAGGCATGTATGGCCCTTGTCAAGGCATGTATGGCCCTTTTCAAGGCATGCATTGCCATTTTATGGCACCTGTCATTTATTTTGTTTTTTTCCCACTTCCCACCCTTCACAACCTGCACCCAGGAAGTGTTTTCATTTTCATTTTTTTTGCCATCCCTGAGGTGGAGTGGAGTTGGCAAAGGCTTCTTTTGTGCTGCCTTGCCACTTCCTTTGGCTTTGGGCCTTGCCCCGTTGGGTTGTGCTGGCATTTCTGGCCTCCCACCATCAGAGCTCTCAGTTCCCTCACCCTTTCCTTCGCTGCTGCTGCTTCTGCTGCTCCTGCTGCTGGAGCTGGACTTGCTCTCCTTTGTGCCTGCCAAATCATGGTTGTAAAAAATGGTGTGGTGTAAGTGGAGCCAGGGCCAGGTGCAAACAAAGTCACAACTGTTTGGCACGAAAAATGGTTTTAAACCATCACAGAAACATGCAGTGGGGTACTTCATTACCCCCACCTTGGCCTGCAGGCTTTGGCTGGGCAGCAGGTTGCTGGGCAGGCTTCTGTTGGTGGCCTGGCCAGGCAGCCAGATTTGACATGAAAAACTGCTCTGACTGACACAAAATGTGCCTGAGGAGGAGGCAGCACCACCAGTGGCCATGGGGCTGCCACCATCACCACCATCACCACCACCTGAAACAAAACAAATGCAAGATGCATGGCAAAAAAATGAAGCTAAGGAAATCATGGTTGCAAAACAGCATGCCTGAAAGAGAAAAAACTATATAGTGTCAAGCCTGGGTGGATGAGGTACCCACTTTGTGGCAGCACCCAGGAGACAGCGGGCTGCTGCCATTGCCACTGGGATTGCTGCCAGTACAGCTGCTGTTGCAGCTGCTGCAGCTGTTGCTGCTGCATTTCCAGGTTGGCCTGCTGTTCTTCCATCTTTGCAGCCATGTGCTTTTGCTGCCTTCCATGGATTCTTTGGAACCTGGCCCTTCCTATGGCAGCAAGCCTTTGCTGCTCAGCCTCCTCCTTACTTTTGGGTGGGTTTTGCTCCCTCATTTTGTCCAGCCTCTGTCTTTGCACATAGCTGCCTGATGTTCGGCTGCTGCCTGGTGCTCCTTCTTTTTTTGGCAGCCTCCTATTTTTTTCCTGGGGCTGCCTGTCCTCAAACCATGCATCCTGGTGCCTGTCTTCCCAGGACCAGTCTGTCCAGCCATCAGACCACTCACCCTTCCATGGCCACCCCCTTTCTTCCCACTCATCTGCTTTTCCTTCCCACCAGGCTTTTTTTTTCATGCGTCTTCCCACCCTTGCTGCTCCCAGCTCTGGCTCTGCCAGTCTTCCTAAGTCCATTTTTCCCAGGCTTCTGTTTTTTGGATATTTTCGCAATCTTCTGGTGGTGCTTTTGCTTGCCACCTTGTGGGTTTTGGCTGGTTGCTGCCACTTCTACTTCTTTCAGGTGGGGATGGCCTATCCCAGTCTGGGGAAGATGGTGGGGATTGCCTCATCCTTGCCCTTGCCCTTTTCAAGGCTTAGCAGCTGTGCCCCTTTCAAGGCTTTGAAGTGTGCTCTTGTCAGAGTTTGGATTTATGCCCTTTGCAAGGCTTGCAAAGAGTTTTTTCCAATTGATGCCCAAGGTGGCTGTGCTTAGTTTGAGCCAAAAAGTGGCTGAGAAAGACAAAGTGTGACCACAGGTATGCAGGTATGCTAAGCAAGTTGCACTTCAGAGGCAAAAAGGCCAGAAACCTGTGCATGCACACTGTCCAGCACCTTTTTTCCATTCCACTTTGAGGGCAGATTGAAATATATATGCAGAAGCTGTGCTGCTGCTAGCCCTTTCACAAGGCATTCTTGATTGCAAAGCAAAAAACCCTGTCACAAGGCAGGCTTGTTTGCAAAGCAACAGTCCTTTCGCAAGGCATGTTTGGCAAGCCCTTTTGCAAGGCATGCTTGGCACACAGTGGATCCTTTAAGGTGGCTTCCCATACTTTTGAAACAATTTGTCTCTTTCTTTTAAGACTGATGTCTTGGTGGCTCCCTTTTCCTTGCATGTTGGCAGCAATTCTTCCATCAGGGCTTTGTGTGTCACTTTGAGAAACTTGGGTCCGGCAGCTGTGCAAGCAACTATCAATCGCTTAGAGCCATCTGGGCCATCTGGGCCATCTGGCATGTGTTGGATATAGCTTTGTGCCTTGCCACCACCCAATTTCACAGATGGTAGGTGGATAGCATCTGGCCCACCCCTGGCACCATCTTTTGAAGACCCACTGCTCTTGCTCTCTGCAGCTGGCTTTTCAACTTTTGCCCTTTTGCAAGGCTTCTCTTTGAGGCAGGGTTTTTCACATGTTTTCCAGCTGCTGCCTTCAAGACAGGGGGTGGGCTTTTCTGTAAATCAGGCCATGATGAACCAACTGCTGATGATTCAGCAGCTGATTCAGCTGCTGATCCAGCAGAATCACTGTCAGCTGGGGTGGCCGGCAGTGAACATTGTGCCACGCCTGCCACGCAAAAGAGGCGGAGACCCAAGGGACGCCAGGGCGTACATCCGACCCCTTGGCAGCGCACATTGTGCCACGCCTGCCACGCAAAAGAGGCGGAGACCCAAGGGACGCCAGGGCGTACATCCGACCCCTTGGCAGTGCACATGGTCCCACGCCTGCCACGCAAAAGAGGCGGAGACCCAAGGGACGCCAGGGCGTACATCCGACCCCTTGGCAGTGCACATTGTGCCACGCCTGCCACGCAAAAGAGGCGGAGACCCAAGGGACGCCAGGGCGTACATCCGACCCTTTGGCAGTGCACATTGTCCCACGCCTGCCACGCAAACGAGGCGGAGACCCAAGGGACGCCAGGGCGTACATCCGACCCCTTGGCAGTGCACATTGTCCCACGCCTGCCACGCAAAAGAGGCGGAGACCCAAGGGACGCCAGGGCGTACATCCGACCCCTTGGCAGTGCACTGACTGACTGACTGACTGAGTGAGTGAGTGAGTGAGTGAGTGAGGGAGCGAGCGAGCGAGCGAGTGAGTGAGTGAGTGAATGAGTGAGTGAGTGAGTGAGCGAGTGAATGTGTGAGCGAGTGAGTGAGTGAGTGAGTGAGCGAGTGAATGAGTGAGTGAGTGAGTCAGTGTGTGAGTGAGTGCGTGAATGAGTGAGTGAGTGAGGAGGACGGGAGGACGGGAGGACGGGAGGAGGAGGAGGAGGAGGAGGACGGAGCGGATACAGAACTAAAAACAAAAACCCCACACGTCAATGTGGGGAAGAATTGCAACTTTACACGGGTCTAACTATACAGGGGATATTGTAGGTGTATATTTACATATACACATATATATATATGTATACACATACAGTACATATATACACTGTATATCTACATATATATCTACATATATATATACAGATGTAATAATACATTTAGAATAGCTAGCCTATACAGATATATGCGTGTCGCTGGATGATTTGACAAAAAATGTATCTTTTTTTGGAGAGACGCCTTGGTTGCCTTGGCCCTGAGGTGCTGGATCAGCTCCCCCCTGCGCCGACTCGTCCCTTGACCAAGATGGCTGGGGAAGCTGTTTTTTTGATCGTGTTAAACTGGAGAATCAGATTAATCAGCTTTAATTGCCCCATTTTTGAAAGTGAATCAGCAAGGCTTGGATTGGAGATGTTTCTTCCATGCTGATGGTTTTATTAGGCTGGTTTGGATGATCGACCATTCCAATGGACCATTTTGAATCACCTCGCAGCCAGGGGTTGGTAACTGTAGATGTTCCATTTTGTCAATGGGACTTTCAGGACCCTAAAACGGAGGTACTATACAAAATCCAGTTTTGGGTGCTAATCCCCTTACGTAGGCCTCACTGGATGTGTGGTCGGTACCTCCAATTAAGGTACCTGAAATGGCCCTTGATTTTGGGGATATCACCTATTGTCCCTTCAATGGACAGATGTGGGAATGGGTTGACGTCACCAGATAACCACCACAGATACCCACCAACTTGCGTATATAAATCCCATCCCACAACCTCCCATCTAGTCCCATGGGATGGCCAGGACACTATAGAGGCTTTTCACCCATTTTCAGCCATCTGATGCCATGGTCACCTCACTTTCCTCCTTTTTCAAAAACCTTTTCTTGGCATACACACTTTTCTTTGCTTCCTCAGACCCTGCCATCCTCTTCATGAGGCCTGCCATGATGCTGGCCTGTGATTCATCCAACTTCTGCTGGAATTTTTGGAAGCTTGTATCACTTGAAGTCACCCTTCTCCAATGCTTTAGCAGCACTGTCAAAGAATCAGCTCCCCTCCCAGCCACCATTTCCTTCTCACACCCGAAATGGGTTGAAAGAATGTCAGCCCCAAACTTATTCATCATGCTGGCCAAGCCCATTTTCAAAGCACAATATTTGATTTGTGCTGGTGGAGAAGCTTGCAGGAGGCATTCCAACAGCTTTGCAAGCTTGGCCATTGCCCTAGGCACCTCTGCTTGCTGAGGTTGCAAATGGGTATATCCAAGCAGGTTGAAAGCTTGTTCCTTACCCATTTGCCTCACATAGCTGTCCAGCTTGTCCTCCAGCAGGGTTTGATCAACTTCTGGGAAACTCTTTCTTTTGGTTGGGTTTGAATTTCCTGCTCCTTTTGCCCTTTTTCTTACTGGCTTCATCATTTTTGTGTGATTTGAGGCTATGCCCTTTTCAAGGCTTTTGCCCTTTTTCAAGGCTTGGATTCCTGGCAGGGAAGCTTGAGAAAAAAGATGCATTATCCAAGGCTTTAATGCCCTTATCCAAGGCTTTAATGCCCTTATGCAAGCTTTGCCCTTATGCAAGGCTTTGTTCAAGGCTTCAGTGCTCAACCCAATGCCAGAACCCACCATACCTATCCATCCAGAAGAGATAGGATTCTCTCCAGTCAGTGCCACAGACCCACCAACTGACTCCCCACCGACCCCACTTGGACCTGCCCAGCCTGCCCCTCCATATCCAGTTTGTGCAGCTAGCTCCTGGCCCATCTCTGTTCCAGCCATGGCAGCACTGGACATACTGGTTGTCCCTGTACTGTGGTGGGTCCAGGCCCATTAAAGGGTCATCATCTGAGTACCTGGACCCCATGCCCTTTCCAAGGCCAACTGGAAAAACTTCCACCTGAGAGCCTGGCAGCTACCTGTGGACAAGGTTCAAGCCACATGTCCCAAAGCAAAAGTTTCACCAACAGGCATGTGACAATGTCATGCACTTTGGTTCTGCTTCATGAGGCTGAAATGAGATTCAAGCCCCAAGAAAGCATTGTTGAAATTCCTTATTGAAAATTGATCCAAAAAGCAGTTCAAACCTTATTGAAATAAACCAATAATATTATTGAAATACATTTCAGTAAGGTTATTGAAATATTTCAATAGAGCTTGAATTTCAATAAGTGTTACAAAAATCAATAACTTAATTGAATCTTTTCAATAAGGCGTACTCTGGGAAAGCTGAAGCAAAGAGCCCATTGCGCATTGCTCTCAGGATTTCGCTTGTAACGCTCCTACTCAGTTGAGTTGATTCACATACCTAATGAGATGTTTTGGCTGTTGCTACCTATCTATCTATATCATATCTCTTTGATTTGAGACATACTAACCTAACAAAATTTACAACCAAATCTAATCTGATCTGAACCTATATAGACCTATATAGTCTGATCTCATCCAATCAATCCATTGGTAGTTGCCAAACCTAAGTGGCCAAAGTGCTGATTGAACACACCTCAAGCTGCGTCAGGCCACAGGTGAAATTTAGAGGCCTGAAATTAGCTGATTGGTCATTCTTAAGGTGCACCAAGCGCATCTACCCAATTACATCAAATTACATCGAATTACTATATTCGCATATTAAAAACGTACCAACATAGTACCCATTAACCATCATTTCCCAGACTAGAACGTACCCATTTACCATCATTTCCTCATTCACGACATATTTTCAGTTGGGTATTGTGGACTAAATCCATCTAAATCCCCAGGTGGACCCCAATCTTGGGATCTGATTTTTGGCTTTGGATCAGTTGCCGGATCCAGGCGGATCGAGGTTTTCGGATTTTGGAGGCGCCCCTGCCCACCCATTGGACGCATGGAAAAAGATGCCAAGATGTCAATGGCCTCATGATTTTTCGTGTGTTTGTCTGTAAAGTGATGATTTTCCAACTTGTTGGGAAGAGAATGGTAGCTCTACTCCAACGATGCTTGCTGTAGCTCAAACTCTCCCGTTCTGTTGCCATGGCCTATATGGCCGCAGGTCGCTTCTTCCTTCCTGGGTGGGCAGAAATCTTTGGTGAAGGTCGCCAAATGGGGCAGCCGCGAGGCAGGGTTGTGGCCTGTGGCTTAGGGGCGCCAACCTGAAAACGTGTGATTTATACCCAACATTGCTATTGCATGCTATTTCAATGGGTGATGGTTGGCAAGCATACTTTGGAGTACAATCATTTCAGACACACCCATATTCATGACATTCTGTAATTTTTATGAACAGTATCTGAAGTTCTGTCAACAGATGTCTAGGGAAGCTTTGCGAAGATGTCACAAAACTCAGACTCATCCGGCAAAACCGTTGGAT